TATCGCATATATGAAAGAATAAAAGTCACAACGAGACACCTACGGTGATTGGACTCGCCACAGCTGCTCTTGCATTTATACACTATTCTATTATCTACTCTCTTCTACTCTCTACTCTTCATCTCTATTATGCAGCATGATCGAGATAATGACAATGCATGATTCATTACTTTTAGTAGTGCATGTAGCATGTTCTGTACCAACTCAAGTCAAAAGAGCTACAAAAACTAACACCTATTATGAAGGCGCAGATACTGTTGTCTTGATAGAATTTATTAATTTAAGGGATCATGCATAAAACAGCAAAAGAATTATGCATTAAGAAATGCAAGCCAGCTAAGATGGCATGTAAAAATAATTGCCAATTAATAGAGGCATGACACATGACCAAAGAAGCTTAAGTTTTTTTCGAGGTTTTTTACTTTTTAAGAGTGATTTATCATAAGTTATATGAAACAATATTTAAAAGAGTTGTAAGAGTCTACCACTGCTAGCCTACCCCATTTCTGCCTCAACCCTTCACAAAGTCGGACGGCCAGGATGAAGTTTCATGAAGCATAAGTCTCTACCAAGTAAGAATTAAGAAATTCTACACATAGATCTATTAGGGAAATAGAAGGAAGTAGTCTACTGGAAGAGTGTCATGAATGGCCATGCTAGTAGTACAGGTTTTACTCGTAGAACTCGTTTAGTAAACAGGTTCTGTCGAGCATCACTTTCAAGATCACTGATAGAGCGATCAAACCACTTGAAGGCCAACTAAAGAAATAGAAGAGAACACATCACTATTTATAATACTCTCAACCTTCTTTCTCAAATCTTCTTTAAATATCAACTATCAAGAGCATGAGCATTAAGATTGGCATATTATGATCTTGAGAAATTGTATCAAAGTTTTGGCAATGGAGATCAATTTACCAAAATGACTATATTTATAGCTATTAATGGGGTCACATTTTATCAAAGACCTACAAAGCTTTGGAAATCTAGTACTGCCAATATTGTGTCAATATTCTGTGGTGTGCAGTACAAGAACAACTTGTACTCAATTGCTAACATACTCCATCCTCCTTTTCAACTATTGCCATGTACAAACTAAGTCATTGATATTAAATTAAAAAAAATCATTAACTAAAAGTAAAAATAGAAGTATAAATAACTGTAACCTAATAAACAACAAGTCGGTTGTTACTAAAATCACAAACATACAAGAATCCATCTTTATCAAATGACAATCCATAAGGATTATTAAACTGATCAATATTATTGCCAAAACTTCCAAACTTACTAACAAACACACCATCAGTAGTGAAGATTGATATACGATTATTGCCCAATTCACTAACGTACACAAGACCAGTAGCTGCAGTGTCTATTGTCATACCTATTGGAATATAAAGCTTTCCAGGACCAGATCCTTCAGTACCAAAGTGGCCCACAAACTTTCCACCTGCAGAAAACTTCTGAATGCGATGATTATCCCTATCAGCAACATACACTAATCCTTGACTGTCAATAGCAATGTCACGTGGAAACTTAAACCATCCATTAGCTGATCTTTTACTACCAAATGAATGAGAGAAGGTTAGATCAGGATTCAAGACTTGTATACGATGATTACCATTATCAGCAATATAAACCTGTCCTGTTAAAGGAGAAATGGCTATACCTGAAGGACCATTAAATTGTAGTGGTCCACTGCCCTCCTTACCAACTGATGCTATAAGGTATCCATCCATGCCTATCTTCTGGATCCTGTGATTATCAGATACAAGAATGAATTTGTCTGGAGTAAAGGCTACACCACGAGGAGAAGAAAACTTGACATCACTACTTCCTCTTTTCCCTCCTAATGATTTCACTTTCTTTCCTTCTCTATCCAGTATCGTTACACAGTGGCCAGTACACTCAGTAATTATAAGATGATTATCATCAGTTACAGTAACTCCCCAGGGACGCTCAAGCTCAGATATAGTACGTACTACTGGTGTGACATTATAAAAAAAAGGATTGATAGGGATGACTAGTGAGGTATCCTCAAGGTATACATCATACACTTGTACTTTTACTGTATGAGTACCACGTGTTGAAGGGTTACACTGTATCCTATACACTCCAGGATCAGTGCTGGTGGTAGTGATTGTAGTGTGAATGGGTTGATCACCTTTACCAACTGGTACTAGACTACACCTCAGAGAAGAGAGAGGAACAGACAAAAGAGATGAATCTGGTGCTTCCATTGATAGTGAAAATGAAACTGATAAGCCAGAAGGTGTAATACGATCAATCTTCTTTACTCTACACTGCTGTAGTGGGAACATATCTCCAATGTGATGTAGTGATTTGATATCTTTAATCAATAAAAAATCAGCTTTTTCCTTTGGATGTAACTCTTCCACATTGATCCCTGCAGTAACTTCACTCATACGCTCCATCATCTGTTTCTTAGACCTCAGGAATTGTTGAGGACTGCCTGTCTTCAGGCTTTGTTCCACATAATCCTCAACATCCTCCAGAAGACTCAAACTCATTTCTGCTGATTTCATTTGCTTTGACAGCACCTTTAGTTTATCATCAGTGACCCTCTTTGCCTGCTCAGTCAGTTTCTTCTCTGACTGACGAAGAACTTTCATCATTTCCTCTACCATTTCATGTATTTCTTCTAAGACTCCTTCTCCTCTCTCTCTGATCTCACCCTCTCTCTCTGCTAGAGCAGACAGGACCTTTTTCAGTCCTTCAATTTTCCCTTTTACCGGATTAAGAGATTTCTCCAGTGCTTCTTTGTGTTTAGTAAAACTATCAGCTATTAGGTTATACTTATGATCTTTATGAGTGACTACAATACAATCACGACAAATTGATTTATCGCATGTGTCACAGTAATACTTTAATGGCTCATCATGACTTGGTATGGGACAAATGAGAGGTGCTTCCTGTTTAGCTGGAGCTAGCAATTGTGAAGTAGAAGAGAAATCAGAGGCTGTCACCTCATCAAGATTTGTCAGTTGATGGTTAGCAAAAAGAGCCCATTTCTTGTGCATAGAGATACATTCTGTACAAAGGAATTGACTGCAGTCTTTGCAGTATCCAGTGGCATTAGCTGAAGTGCAGTTGTCACAGGTGACTTGTTGAGGATCAGCTACTTTCTTCATTAGGCTGTATATCTCTTTGAGGTTGTTGAGAGTGAATGCTACAGGAAAGGCTCCTGCTCCTTCTTCTGCTAACTCTGTACAATGACGACAAGTGGGACAAGAGAGGTAATAGGTCTCATTCTTCTTATCCAGAGGTAATCCCTCCAGACAGTGCTGACAAAATGAGTGATGGCAGGGTAAAGTCTTAGGGTTGGCATAGTGGTCAAGACACACAGGACAGGTGAGCTGTTCCTCCAGCTTAAGGAGACCAGGAGAAGAAGATGAAGATGGTTTGGTTGCCATTTCAAGAAAAGAATAAAATTGTGTATAGACTATAAAGCAAGTATAAAAAATGAAGAGATATAAAGGTAGAAGACGGTAAATGAAGACAAAGAAGGAAAGAATGAACGATAAGAAATTGAAGAAGCTGGAATGAATGAGAATGAGAACAGCCTGGGGAAAGATAGCCCTGACAACCTCTTGGAATATTCTATAGTCCTGTGACTACAGGAAGTTATGATAGTGTAGATAACATTCCTTTCTCATAGCAAGTTAGTAAAAGTAAATCTAACAGTGTGTATGAACATTGGGCAAATAAATTTTCTCATTTGGTACAATGTAGCTACATGCACATGACTACTACATGTACATACAGAATTAACTCTCAATAACAGCATTCCTGCATGCAGCATTTTAACCTTAACCTTTCTTCTGCAATAATCCACCTGGGTTCTTAGATGCCTTATCCTTATGATACTGGAAGTGAATAAGGCAGATTCACAATAAGAGTCACAAATTTAGTCCCACTATAATTTTTTACTCTATGGTATGGTTCTATGGGAAACTTCATTGCTGGTTGCTATGATTAATAAATGTTAATATAATTCATTGTCACTGTAACTATGTACTATAGTCACAAGATCTTTGAATATTATTACACTATAACTGCCTTTTTGCCCTCTTCGCCTTAGTTTAACCTCCTAGTCTCTCCAATTATAGTTTTATAATCTCTTGAGTCACTCATTCTTTAGAATTCTGTTTGTTACATAAAGGTAGGGAGCATGCACTATTATACTACTTGTGTAGTGTACATAAAAATATTATTTCTATTGACTGATAGTGCTCTTGCTGTTTTACTCTATTGTATAGGGTTGACTATTAAAGCTGTCAAAGCTAACACTATTCAAGTGGTCACAGGGCTATCCTTTCTCAGTCACTGTTTTCTTTTAAAGCTCTTTTTATTCTGATCTTTTGACTTTCTCCAGTTATAGTGAGTTACTTCTGCCTTACACTTTCTTGAAATTAAAATGGCAACCAAGCCATCTTCATCTTCTTGTAGTCTTCTCAAACTGGAGGAAGAGCTCACCTGTCCTGTGTGTCTTGAGTGCTATACCAACCCTAAGATCCTACCCTGCCATCACTCATTCTGTCAGCACTGTCTGGAGGGATTACCTCTGGATAAGAAGAATGAGACTTATTACCTCTCTTGTCCCACTTGTCGTCGTTGTACAGAGTTACCAGAAGAAGGAGCAGGAACCTTTCCTGTAGCATTTACTCTCAACACCCTTAAAGAGATACACAATACAATGGAGAAGACACCATCAGATTTGCCAAATCCTGAAGAAGCTACATGTAGTGATCATGGAAAATCATTTGAGCTATTCTGTGAAATTTGTGATTTAGTAATCTGTGTAAACTGTTTAGCTCAGAATCACAAACATCATGAATGTGAATTAATCACTGACAGTTACACTAAACACTGTCAAAAGTTAAAAGAACATCTATTACCAGTTGAGGGAATGAAAGAAACACTCAAGAAGGTCCTGTCTGCTCTAGCAGAGAGAGAGGGTGAGATCAGAGAGAGAGGAGAAGGAGTCTTAGAAGAAATACATGAAATGGTAGAGGAAATGATGAAAGTTCTTCGTCAATCAGAGAGGAAACTGACTGAGCAGGCAAAGAAGGTCACTGATGATAAACTAAAGGTGCTGTCAGAGCAAATGAAATCAGCAGAAATGAGTTTGAGTCTTTTGGAGGATGTTGAGAATTATGTGGAACAAAGTCTGAAGACAGGCAGGCCTCAACAAGTCCTGGAATCTAAAAAACAGATGATGGAGCGTATGAGTGAAGTTACTGCAGGGATCAATAATATAGAGCTACAACCAAAGGAAGAGGCTGACTTCATATTGAGTAAAGATATCAAATCATTACATCACATTGGAGATATTGTGACCTACTCATCCACTGCAGTACAGCAGTGTAGAGGGAAAAAAGTTGGCTACTTTGAACGTCTACCAAAAGTGAAGAAAATTTCATTTTCACTATCATTGGAGGCACCAGATTCATCTCTTTTGTCTGTTCCCCTCTCTTTTCTGAGGTGTAGTCTAGTACTAGTTGGTAAAGGTGATCAACCCATTCACACTACAGTCACTACCACCAGCACTGATCCTGGAGTGTATAGGATACAGTGTAACCCTTCAACCAGTGGTACTCACACAGTAAAAGTACAAGTATATGATGTACACCTTGAAGATACCTCACTAGTCATCCCTATCAATCCTTACCTTGATAGCATCACTCCAGTATGTACCATAACTAAATTAAAATGTCCTTGGAAAGTTGCTGTAACTGATGATGATCATATTATAGTAACTGAGTGTGATGGTCACTGTGTAACAATACTGGATAGAGAAGGAAAAATTGTTAAAGCATTAGGAAGAGAAGGAGGAAGTGGCAAGGTCAAGTTCTCTTTTCCATGTGGTGTAGCCATTACTCCAGACAATTTCATTCTCGTATCTGATGGTAATCACAAGATCCAGAAGATAAGCATGGATGGATGTCTTATAGCATCAGTTGGTGGTGAGGAGGGCAGTGAGCCACTACAATTCTGTGATCCCTATGGTATAGCCATTTCTCCTATAACAGGACAGGTTTACATTGCAGACAAATTTAATCATCGTATACAAGTCTTGAATCCTGATCTAACCTTCTCTCATTCATTTGGTAGTGAAGGATCAGCTAATGGACAGTTTCTTTTTCCACGTGACATTGCTATTGACAGTCAAGGATTAGTGTATGTTACTGATAGGGAGAATCATCGCATTCAGAAGTTCTCTCCAGATGGAACGTTTGTGGCTCAGTTTGGTACTGAAGGATCTGGTCCAGGCCAGTTTTATGGCATAACAATAGACACTGCATCTACTGATAGTTTATGTTAGTGAACATTTTAATCATTGTATATCAGTCTTCACTAGTGATGGTGTGTTTGTTAAAAAGTTTGGAAGTGAAGGCAATAATATTGATCAGTTTAATGATCCTTGTAGTTTAGCATTTGATAAAGATGGATTCTTGTATGTTTGTGATTTTAGTAACAACCGACTTGTTGTTTATTAATAATGCTTAATGCTATTAATTGTTGTCACTTAATTTTTTAAACGTTAACTTATTGAAATGTAGTGCAAAATTCCAATATTAAATACAATAATTTATTTATATGCACATGTTACAATCATAAATACATATACTTATTACACTATACACTATACCTTGAGTTCTGTTCATCTCTCTCCACTCCCACTATAGCCTGTCTTATCCCTGGCTGCTTGTACAACTGCTGTAGGACTGTATTCATGTAACAAGTGGCCCCAGCATTCTTAAGACCAAAGTCACCACAAATCTACCAATGGTGAGTGGATGAAACTAAAAGTATGGTCAAGTAATGGAAGAGAAAGATGACAGAGAGAGAGGGTATGAGAGAAAGAGAAGAGGAAGGACATAAGTCGCATAATACATAATTGACATAATTATGTAACATTATAATGTTATCATTACCCTATCTTACAATATCTTACTGTATCACTTACTATATATCTCCTCCCTCTTCCCACCTCTCTTATTCCTCCTCTCTCCCTCTTTCTTCTTTTCTCTCTCTCCCCCCTCTCTCTCCCTCCCTCCCTCACCTCTCATTCTTTAGAGTTCATTGGTCTACAGTTAAAAACTTAAGATGCATTGCTATCAACCTATTGGCTACACACTTCAAGTTAGCAAGACAGTCCATAGAGAGTTTAATGAGGAGATCATAGGCAGCTACACTAGCAGCACAATCACTACATCTAATGGAGGAATAATAATAATAATAATAATACACTATCAACACATCCAGAGACTGTCAGTCACTATCTGGCGTTTCAATGCTCAGAAGTGGCTCATATTTTCCCACTCTTCCTCCCCCAGTGGATGGAATAGTTTAGGCTTTAATTTTTAATTTATGTATGTTTTAGTGTTGGCTAATGTTTTTTGGATATTACCTCCAGTACACTAGTAGATAAGGAACTCACTAACAGTCTAATGCTAGGAAAATTATTTCACTTCAAGCAACCAAAATCTACAATGTATGACTGACATTTTCCAATTTTGAATGTAATCAGCTAAAACTATACATGCAACATCAGATATGTATAGAGCACTACTTTGTATTACATCATATTTAATTGCATCATTTGATAAAATAACATAACAACTAATTATAATACTAAACGAAATAATCAAACTATTGGTTCAAAATTAATAAGTCGAGATTTTTCAAAATCACAAATATGCATACAAGAATCTATTTTTATCAAATGCTAATCTACTAGGATTATCAGACTGGCCAATAATACTGCCTTTACTTCCAAACTTACTAACAAACACACCATCACTAGTGAAGACTGATATATAATTCACTAACATACACTAGACCAGTAGCTGCAGTTATATTGTTATACTATTAGACCTATTAAGCTGTCCAGGACCAGATCCTTCGGTACCAAACTGAGCCACAAACTTACCACCTGGAGAGAAATTTTGAATGTGGTGTGATTAAAGAAATCAGTAACATACACTAATTCTTGACTGTCAAAAGCAATGTCATTTGGAGACTGAAAATGTCCATTAGCTGATCCACAGATACCAAATAAATGAGAGAAGGTTAGATCAGGATTCAAGACTTGTATATGATGATTAATACTATTAGCAATATAAACTTGTCATAAATAATAAATTTATTAATAAAGTTATTACTTTATTAGAGCAGGGCAATTGCAGTGGATTGCCCATTCAAAAATTTTACTCCAAGTGAAATAAGAATCTGATCCAATTATTCAACCCTGATCTCTTTATAAATGCATGTAACATTACAAGGCACTTGTAACATGTTGTTAGAATCTACTCAAAATTAATTATTATCATACATAGCATGCATACATGGCAATTTATTATCAAATACAGCCATTAGGACAAAAAAATATTTGAAAATGTGCAACATTAATTGGGTATAATTTTTTAGCCAATGTGTGTATGGAAATTAGATGTAAGCTATATAGTACAGGAAGGTCACAACTCAAAACTTTATAATCAGAATCAGCTCAAACATAAATTAGGGATGATTGTTGCATTAAAATTGTTCAACTGTAGTTCCCTAAAACATTATTATGGGGGCAAGTAATTTTCATTTCAAAGCCAATTTTCCCTAATGCCCATCCACTTAATTACCTCAAAATAATTATTGAATTTAAATTCTCTGTTAGTCTCCTAATCATAGTCGTAAACCTCTTGAGCATAGGGGAGGAGTCTTGATGCATGTACGCTTTAAAGTGTCCCTCTAAAAAATAATAAAACAATCATTTAATTGAACAGATATACATCAACATGTAAGTACTATAGTTATATTTTACAGTCATTTCAAAAATATTAAAAAGATGTAAGTGCTATAAATAAATTTAATTTACAGATGGAAACATTGGCTCATTTGGAGGTCGTTAAATTAGGTGATTTGTTTAAAATTTTGCAATTGTTAGGTCTTATACTGGCAGTTACAATGTCATTAAACATATGTGAATAATAAAACAAAATGATTTCATTTTGGTAGGTGCTTACTGAGTAAAGGCTTAAATTAAGAGACAATATTATTATTATTATTATTATTTTGACATTTGAATTACAAACCTTATCTTGACACTCTCCAGAAAGGTTGTTACTCCAAGCATGTCTCCTCATACAAACTCCTAGAGACTCTCAGTGAGACTCCTAGAGTAAATGACTGAGAGCTGGAGGGATGTGAAACCCTGCTGCTTCTTGAACCTTTAGAAGAGGAGAAGAGAGAGGAGCAAAAAGAGGGGAGAGAAAGAGGGGGGAGAGAGGAAGGGAGGGAGGGAGGGAGGGAAGGAGACAGAGAGAAAGAATTAAGAATAAGAAAAATAAAGAAAAAAGTAATGGCAAAATTTATTCATAATTATGTATGCACATATGCACACATGATAATTTTCATACACATATCTACATAACATGTACATGTAAAATGGTGAACAATAAGCACCTGTGTTCACAGCTGTGACATAATTTGGTCCAATAGCTGCCCACTGACTCTCTCCTCAAATACTTTACAGTGAACTCTTTTCTAAAAAACAAATAAATAACAATAAAATAATTAATAAAACTAAAAAATTAGTCTTTTCTAATAAGAGAATTATTAATAAGCTTTAATAATGAAAAAACTCTGAAGCATCCTGGGAAGTAAGTGTGGTCAAAAAGGGCATTGTCTTATGAGGCACCTGGTATTCTAAGACATTGAAAGGTTGTCCCTCCAGTCTAAAGTTCTTTCAGAAAAGGTTAGGAGTGTAATACTGTACATTACTCTCAAGGAAATGACCAAAGATACACTGAATTACATCAGGTATATAAGATGATATGTAAAGAAATATTGTATAGATGTTATGTATTAGATCTACATTATAATTACGTAAATTATGTAAATATTCAAAATTTAATACTGCATACATTGTAATTTTTGAGTGCTTATAAAGTCATATTTTAAAAGAAAAGTGCTCAAAATAAATTATGTGTGAGCTCATTTTATTGCTCTGGCCATAGTCTATGTACCATGGAATGGCATTGGAGGTGGGTGGATTAAATTACGTGGATTGAAGACAAGCACAAAATAAAAAAATTAACACACAACAAAATTATCGCCTATATGAAAGAATAAAAGTCACAATGAGACACCTACGGTGATTGGACTCGCCACAGCTGCTCTTGCATTTATACACTATTCTATTATCTACTCTCTTCTACTCTCTACTCTTCATCTCTATTATGCAGCATAATCAAGATAATGACAATGCATGATTCATTACTTTTAGTAGTGCATGTAGCATGTTCTGTACCGACTCAAGTCAAAAGAGCTACAAAAAACTAACACTTATTATGATGGCACAGATACTGTTGTCTTGATAGAATTTATTAATTTAAGGGATCATACATAAAACAGCAATAGAATTATGTATTAAGCAATGCAAGCCAGCTAAGATGTAAAAATAATTGCCAATTATTAGAGTTGAAAGAGTCTGCCACTGAGTTTATTTTTATTTTATTTTTTATTAATTTTTTTATTTTAAGTTTATTTTTATTTCCAGTAATCTACTGGAAGAGTGTCATTGCTGTATTATTACTTTTTCCGTTATTTATCAAGCTTCTTATCTCTAGCGCTGCTCTTTAAAAATTTTTACCTGATAATAGAAGAATGATCTATGAGTCTAGAAAACTTAGTTTTTTAATTTAAAAAGTTTTTAACAAAGCTAATTAAGATATGCAGGACAACCTAAGTACTTAATAGATTTGCTTGTCTACACGGCGAGTCCAATAAGTACATGTAATTTCCTCTTTATACTAACCATCCTCCTATTAGTCTGTTTTTAAATACCAGGAATTAATAATAATAGTAATAATTGATAAAACTATGATAAAACCAAAACTAAACAAAAAAATAGTTTGGTATAATAAATAAACTTAATGTAATAACTAATAAACAACAAGCCGTCTATTATTAAAATCACAGACATACAAGAATCGATCTTTATCAAATGCTAATCCACAAGGAGTATAAAACTGAGAAATATTATTGCCTTTACTACCAAACTTCTTAAGAAACACACCATCGCTAGTGAAGACTGAGATACGATGATTACTGTTCTCACTAACATACACTAGACCAGTAGCTGTAGTGTCTATTGTTATACCTATTGGAACACTAAGCTGTCCAGGACCAGATCCTTTAGTACTAAACTGGCCCACAAACTTTCCACTTGGAGAGAACTTCTGAATACGATGGTTACAACTATCAGTAACATACACTAATCCTTGAATGTCAATAGCAATGTCATTGGGATACTTAAAATGTCCATTACCTGATCCTTTACTACCAAACAAATGAGAGAAGGTTAGATCAGGATTCAAGACTTGTATACAATCATTATTCATATCAGCAATATAAACCCGTCCTGTTATAGAAGAAATGGCTATACCAGAAGGATAATTGAATTGTAGTGGTCCACTGCCATACTTACCAACTGATGCTATAAGGTATCCATTTATGCTTATCTTCTGGATCCTGTGATCATCAGATACAAGAATAAATTTGTCTTGAGTAATGGCTACACTACGAGGAGAAGAAAACTCAACATTACCACTTCCTCCTTTCCCACCTAATAATTTCACTTTCTTACCTTCTCTATCCAGTATCATCACATAGTTACCATTAGTCTCAGTTATTATAAGATGATTATCATCACTTACGGCAACTCCCATTGGATGCTTAAGTTCAGTTATAGTACGTACTGGAGTGATGTTATCAAGGTAAGGATTGATAGGGATGACTAATGAGGTATCTTCAAGGTGTACATCATATACTTGTACTTTTACTGTATGAGTACCACTAGTTGAAGGGTTACACTGTATCCTATACACTCCAGGATCAGTGCTGGTGGTAGTGACTGTAGTGTGAATGGGTTGATCACCTTTACCAACTGCTACTAGACTACAACTCAGAGAAGAGAGGGGAACACACAAAACAGATAAATCTGGTGCCTCCATTGAAAGTAAAAACGAAATTGTTCTGCCAGCAGGTGTAATACGATCAATCTTCTTCATTCTACACTGCTCTAGTGCAGTAGATGAGTAGGTCACAATATCTCCAATGTGATGTAGCAATTTTATATCTTTACTCAATACAAAGTCGGCCTTTTCCTTTGGATGTAACTCCTCCACATTGATCCCTGCAGTAACTTCACTCATACGCTCCATCATCTGTTTTTTAGACCTCAGGATTTGTTGAGGACTGCCTGTCTTCAGACTCCGTTCCACATAATCCTCAACATCCTCCAGAAGACTCAAACTCATTTCTGCTGATTTCATTTGCTCAGACAGCACCTTTAGTTTAGCATCAGTGACCCTCTTTGCCTGCTCAGTCAGTTTCCTCTCTGACTGATGAAGAACATTCATCATTTCCTCTACCATTTCATGTATTTCTTTTAAGACTCCTTCTCCTCTCTCTCTGATCCCACCCTCTCTCTCTGCTAGAGCAGACAGGACCTTCTTGAGATCTCCCTTCTTTCCCTCAACTGGTAATAGAAATTCTCTTAACTTTTGACAGTGTTTAGTATAACTGTCAGCAATTAAGTCATATTCATGATTTTTGTGATTACGAACTGAGCAACTAACACAGATTACTGTATTACACGTTTCACAGAATAGCTCCAAAGGCTTTCCATGATCACTACAAGTGGCCCCTTGAGGATTAGGCAAAACTGCTGTCTTCTCCATCGCACTGTGTATTTCTTTGAGGTTGTTTACATGAAATGCTACAGGAAAGGCTCCTGCTCCTTCTTCTGGTAATTCTGTACAATGACAACAAGTGGGACAAGAGAGGTAATAGGTCTCATTCTTTTTATCCAGGGGTAATCTCTCCAGACAGTGCTGACAGAATGAATGCAGACAAGGTAAAGTCTTAGGGTTGGTATAGTGGTCAAGACACACAGGACAGGTGAGCTGTTCCTCCAGTTTGAGGAGACTAGGAGAAGATGAAGATGGGTTGGTTGCCATTTTAAGAAAAGAATAAAATTTTGACAGTAAAGCAAGAAAATGAAGAGAGATAAAGGTAGAAGACAGCAAATGAAGATAGAGCAAGAACAAACAATAAAAAACAAACAAGTTGGGAGGAACAAGATGCAGCAACAAAAGAAATCGAAGAAGGTGGAAAAAGGAGAGAAAGACTAGAGATTAGGTAAACACAGAAGTGGGCGATAATAAACATATACCACTATACAGTATAAACTAAAGGAAGTTATCATGCTAGCACACAACAATTATAACACTTCCCACGCCAAGCATTGAAGGTGATTTTACATGGGAATGCAAAGCAAAGTGGAGGAGGTGGACAAGAATATATAAAATTGAAATAAAAAAAGCATTAATACATGTATGCTATTGATGGCCCAAAAATCCAAGGGAAACCGCCGTTTGCCATGCTGCAGTGAATGAAGTTGTGCACAAGACGTTATCATCAGCAGGGATTCCATCTACCCCTGAACCTTCTGGCCTTTCTCGTTGTGATGGTAAGCGACCTGATGGTATGACCCTGATTCCATGGGAAAAGGGCAAACCACTGGTATGGGATGCAACAGTCCCTGATTCTCTGGTGGTTTCCTACAGATCTCAAGCCATCATTGCCACAGAGGCTGTAGCTGCCTCTGCTGAATCTCACAAGATCTCTAAGTATACCAACCTGCCCCAGTCTCTCTTCTTTTGTCCATTGGCTATTGAGTCACTTGGAGGCTGGAGCGCTGGGTCCTTGATCTCGTCATCTTATTCACCACCTAAGTCGTAGGATTTGGCATCTCACAGGGGAGGAAAATAGCACAAGCTACTTACTCCAGAGACTGTTTGTAGCTGTTCAGAGAGAGAACGCTAGTTTAATCTGTGTCTCTTTACCTCTGGGTCCCTCCCTTTAACTTATTATTTGTGTTTTCATTATTATTGCTATTTTTTACTTATTATTGTTGTTACTTATTATTGTTGTTACTTATTATTGCTGTTACTTATTATTGTTGTTGTTGTTATTGTTATTATTGTTACTGTTGTCCAGATGTGGCTGTCTCGCTTCCCCATCTTTCCTCCTTCAGTGGATGGTGTGGTGTAATTGTTTTCTGTTTATGTACTATCAACTTTAATAATAATAAAATAACAATAATATTAATAGTATTTTGGTTTGTAGGGCTCTCCCTTTCTGTTTTTATTGTACTGTTGCTTGTTACTTTATAATAATAATAATAATAATAATAATAATAATAATAATAATGATGATGATGATAAGAGAAAACTCTTACTTGTCTTAGAGCAATCTTTCATCTCTCAGTATTAGAATCAAGTGTCTACAAAAAGAAGCTATATTTAATGTAAAAGCATAAAATTAGAGAGAAGATACATGTACACAAGTATGATAAAATTATCTTACTGAAGTTCTATATCCACCAACACCAATTGTCCTGACAATTATCTGATGCTCTTTAGTGAGACTGAACTTATAGTAACATATTATAATAAGTTAACTACAGGTATGAAGAGAGAGAGGGAGCATGTCAAGTCAATGTACACTATAGGCCACATAATAGTAAACCCATCCCAAAATAAGCAGACATAATTATGCTCTCTTATTCGAGTACCTTACCCATTCTCTGTCGTTCCTATCTGAATTTGTTCCAGAGTTACTTCAAGTCTCTCGCTCACTCTCTTCCTCAATGAAGACAAGGTTTCATTAGAATGACACTGAGAGAGAAAAAGAGGAGAGAGAACAAAGAGCAAGTTAGTTTAAAGCACATGTACATGTAGAAGTAAAAAAGATGATGAAAAGGAACACATGTTAAAAAGACACCTAAAACATTACATGTGCATTTCAAAATTACAAGTACATGCACATAATGTACATGTACATACTAGCCAAAGTACATGTACTGTATAGAGTTAAGGAACATGCACCTGTAAAAAAAGGAGAAAGAGAGGGAGAGAGAAATGTATTTTCCTTACATCAATCATGAAGTGTCTGATGCTGATCAACTGATATATATGCATGATTTATTCATACAGTACATATGTGTACATGTACATATGCACACATGATAACATATCCCCATTACATGTACATGTAAACAATAAGCACTTGTGTTCACAGCCATGACATGATTTGGTCTAAAAACTGCCACCAAATCTCTCTTCAAATACTTTACTGTGACCTCTTTTCTAATAAACAAATAAATCACAATAAAATAAATAAATAAACAAATTAATCTTTTCTAATAAGAGATCTATTACTAACTTTTAATAACTAGCCACACTCACTTTAAGAATCTTGTCTATCTGATCAGTTAAGCTTGAGAAGAACTCTGAACCGTCCTAAAAATAGGTGTCGTCAAATAGGGCATGGTTTTGTGACGTACATGATGTTCTAAGACATTGACGAGTTAGACATCCCTCGAGTCTAAAGTTCTTCCAGAGAAGGTCTGGACTCCAGAGTGTAATATTGTAGATTACTTTCAAGGAGATGACCAAAGATACACTGAGCATCAGGTATATAGGATACTATAAGAGGGAAAGAGTGAGAGAGAGGGAGGATGGATACAGCAATTGCAGTAAAAACATTACATAAAATAGAAATGAAATACCAACATTTTCTTAAGTAATCTGGTAAAACAAATATAAACAAAGAATTTTATAGTTCCGTAAACGTAATGGCTACACATTCTTTTTTGATATTGATAAAATCCAAAGTTTATAATTCCTCTCTCTGAGTAATAGCATTAGTACTTTGGTTTATAATTGGCCATAACAATCAGATGATTCCAGTAAAAGAACTAGATATTAACTCCAGTACACTAGTAGATAAGAAACTCACTAACAGTCTAATGCCAAGAAGCTGCCTGCTTCTAAAATAATTAGCTGTCAAAACACTCTTCAAACTTTATTTGATTCTCAATATGAGTCAACCGAGAAGGTATTGTTTTGAGGTGTTATGGATAAGGCTGATTTTATTCATTATAGAACTGAAAAGGATGACATTAGCACCTCTATGAGGTAAGAGGTCATCTGTTTGTATTGCAAATCCTTTTTCAGGACAGCAGCAATGAAGAGATCAAGAACATGGAAAGATCCTCAACAAAAGAAATCAAAGATCGGTTTGTCTTCATATTTTGAGCATCTGTTTTTGTTGAATAATTTAGTAAAAGTGCCATCCATTGCTGCATCGTCATATTGTCGGTTTACAACCTTCAAGAATTGGCTTGAATCTTCTCGATTCTATTTAAAAGATGAGATGACTATTATAGGCAGTGTAAAAGTGGTTGATGACATCACAATGCACATACCACTAAATCAAACGCCTAGGTAATTTCTGTGTTTCTGGGTGGTGTGCATGGGAATTAAAGGGGGTCCAGTGCAGCCATAATGATCTACCAGTATTATCCACTCTTGGTATTATCTACTACATATAATGTAATGATAGCATACATTGCTAGCTTGGGCTCATCCTTCCCAATGTTCTACATTCATATATACATGTGTAAATGTAATTTTTTGACATGTTTGTTAGGGCTTGGATTAGAGACATCATGTGACTTATTGTAACCTGTTATTCTTTGCCAAATTATTCACAAAAAATTTCAGCATGATTAGGCCTTGGCAGATTATGCCAGCATAATTTTGAGCATATTAGGGCCCAAAAGCATAAGCATAATGTAAGCATAATAGGGCTATAATAGAAACTTTTGAAAAAATGTACTGAGAAATGCAATAAACAAGCCCTTGTGCTTAATAAATTAACTGTTTTTAATTATGTTTAAACAGCTACTATTGTCTAAAACTAATTACTGGGTCGCATTTTGGGTGGGGCTGGGTTATTATAATGAAATTCGGCATGGGCATATGTTGTAGCACAATGGCTGATTAGTAGAGCATAATAGAGCTGTTTCCTGAGAATTGCAGCATAGCATAATAGAGCAATTTTAGAGCATAATCCGCCAAATCCTAAGCATGATGTTGCTGGGATGAAGGTCACACACCTTCAAAGATTGCTCAGTTCACAATGCTGAAGTAAACAAAGTATGTGGATTGATATCCTTGAATCCTTGACTAAAATTGTTTCAGGTATGGTATTTTAAAATAGCAAAATCTCAAAAATGAGCTTTAGAATTAAAAAAAAAATGGTGTGAAATCATACACGCATACAATTTGTTTATTTTATTCAGTTCCTCAATTCTTTTTAACAACCTGACCCCAGGTTGTTCCTATAATTGATTTCACCCACATGCAATGTTTGTATTATTGTATGTCCACACTTACATGTATTGGAGAAATACAAGCCTTAGCAACCACCCGCCCATGCTCATTCAAATAACTACAAATAAAAGCCATAACACTTTGAACGTGTCAACTATTTTAGGAAACTTTCCTATGATCACAGATTGGTACATTTGCTGTATAACACCTGCTGAAGAAGAGTTCCAGTTTCTCCTTGTGAAGGACAATAAAGTTGTTATCATATCTTCAAATAAGAATCCACTTAAACGGTATATCTTCATTTAAACGCTTTTATAATAAATAATAAGTCAGGATTTTAAAAATCACAAACATACAAGAATCTATAAGATCATTCTCATATAGTTACTCAATTACTGTAAATTTCATTACACTTTATAAAAAGCACTGCATTACTATTATCTCTTGTTTTTATACTCATGGACTCAGTCTCCTGGTTGTGATATGTACAGTACAAGTTGATAACACATATGCACTATTCAGCACTATAGTACTATAGTGTACATAAACATTGTTGCTCAATCGACTGAAAAATTTCCTCCTGCCTGGGAAGCTAGCAGCCACAAGAGAGTCAGAGATCATGGCCAGTCTTAAAAGTGTACCAAATATACCAGACAGTGTATCACAGGATATAACAGAGCCTACTACAGCCACCAGTACTGAGCAAAACATTGTCACTAAGGTATGGTAATGACAGGGTTTTAATATATAAGTGATGCTTTCAGTCTTCATTGTTTGTTAATTATATATAGAGACTATGATGAACATTATTTTATACATAGGTGAAATCAAAAGTGGAGCAGAACACTAAAACTAAATATAGTACTTTCACTGCACACAAATATGTCAAAAAAGAAAGCATTTATCTAGTCAGGGTATAAATAAAATAATGTGATTAATAATGTATTAATAGTAGGTTGATGCTGGTGAGGGTCGTTACGTTGATGTGAAGATAGACTACAGGTTTGGCAAAGCTAATTTTAAAACAGCAACTGCCAGTGGAATAGACGACCCACTCAGTCTTTAAATACTGTGACAGAATAGACATAAACTATGAATTCAAAACTGATTTAATTAATTGTATTTCATTTAAAAAATATTAAACTTTTGACTTTAGCAATAAAAACTTGACCATAGTAATAAGTGTGCTATAAAAATAAGTAATTTTATTATCTCCTGCAACTGATAATAATCAACAAGCACTATACAAGTATGATAAAATACTGCTGCTGTATAGGGTACAAACCAATACACAAGACAGGTGATGATGCTGTCATAATGCAATGATATCAGCTCTGTTGTGAGGATTCTCTATTGGTGAGTGACCATGCATGAACATTGTGAATTGTTCATCACTAATAAAATATAAAAACCCAATCATATGGAATGTACATGCATACATATGCACACTTTTAAATGTTACAGCATTATGTTAATAAACATACAAACTAGAGCAGTATCCATACTAGTGCTATCATCTGGTGACACTTATAGTGGATGCATCTAGATTTTAATTCCATTAGCTAATATGATGTATTTAGGAAAAGAGGATTCTTGATTCTAGTTGGCACAGTGTCAGCAGTTACTGTATACACCATATATTTTGCGGTAAATAAAATGTTGTGATTTTCGTGTTTTGGAAAAATTAGCAAAATTAAAATCCGCAAAATAGCATGTTGATTGTATAGTAGAGGTGCGGTAATTACATTAAAATCGTGAATTTTTTATTCACAAATACAAAAATGCAGCCAAATCACAAAATTTTATACCCGTGAAATATATGGTGTATACGGTATTGAGAATGCTATCTCTGAGCCTGAGGTAAGCAATAGAAGAGAGAAAGGGGAAGTCATTTGTTTAAGTTTACATTATACATCTAAGCTGTTTGACATGACTACTGACATGTAAAAGTGAAAGCCATTTGACAAGTACAGTGGGCTCTTCTGCTCTGTTATAATCTACTTGCAGATACTTCTACTTCTCATCAATTGACAGTATGAATGTATGGAACTTGCTATTGCTTCACTTGTTGTTATTTATCTCATGTAGTTACAGGTGAGTACATATGTGTACTGAAATAAAGTTAAATTTGGATGCATTAAAGTAACTAATGAATACAACTTTTTTGTTTTAAGCTTCATCATTTTTCTATTCATGTACATGTAAGAGCACAACCTGCATGGCATTTCATTTCTTGGACAAATTAAATTTGTTTTTAGAATCAAAAAAAATTAATTTTGTAATAAAGAACATCAACACAAAACTATTGGCTTAATTGTGACTTATAGGCACTGCTATCAAACTATATAATCTAAAGCAGTATAGAAAGTGTATTTTTAAAAAGCCATTGTAGTCTCTCACTTTAACAGGTATTGATCTTATCATCAGACAGAGATTAAGGAGTAATGAAATCATTAATCAAATTGTGAAAGGTTTATAGTCAATACAGAATATTACTTTGACTACACTTCAGTATCTTGTGGTAGCTCTCTCGTGTGGCAGAGAGATGGCGGTAGCTTGGGAGGATCACAAAGTGATTTCTGGTAGAGCTTCAGGCATTAGATTGATTTCTCTTTCATTACTCCAGCAATGGATAGGGAAGGAATATACATATGTAGGCATAATGATAGTGTATCAGTTTCTCTAATGATAACTACTAGTAAGTGAAAATGAGAAGACAAGTGTTGTACTGGTGTTTGTTATGATGCTGTATGAAAAGCTTTAATTAGAAAAAAATAATAACTATATTGTGCATGTAACCTGGTCTCGCTATGCATGCAATTATACCTGATGAAAATGACAACAACTTTGGAAATATAATTACACTACTGTGATGTTTTTACATAGCTAATCCAGCAGTACAGTCTATGCATAAAAACATCACAGTATTAGCTGGTAACAATGTGTCTGTTGAGTATGTCTCATCAGAACCATTCATCACATCTACTGACATAACATGGTCCTTTAATGACACTCTAATTACTTCTACCTCATCAAATACATGTAAATATAACTTTGTTTTCAATAATCGTATATTAAATATACAGTCATGGATACATCTGATGATGGAGAGTTTAATATAACAGTGAAGGATAGTGTATCATGTGAGTATAATTATATTTCTATAAATAATTGTTTTGCTACATCTAATATTTATCATCTTTCATTTTCATGATATGCAAATGCATTCAAAAAATACATTTTACAATTAAATTTATTACCTCATGTCAACCCCCCTAAATGTATAAGTTTTTAAGGGTTAAATTATAATTTTCATGCTAAAACTATAATAGAAAATATGCTATAGTAGTTATAATGATTGCCACAGCCAAAGTTTTAAATTAATTTTTACAGTTGATTGATTTATAATGTTTATGTAGCTCTTTGTTTGATTGTCCATGCATTGAGTAAACTCAGTCTAATTAAATGGGAAACATTTACTCGGAACTGATCAGTAAAAGGATCAATTGATATCATTAGCACTAATCCAGTGTAGATCTAATGGATCAGCACTGCCTGATGGACACGTCATTCACACAATGATAACTGATCACATATTGGTTAGTTTAAGCCATAGCATAATAGCATTGAATAGTACTGTATAGTCTGTTAAAAAGTAATTTACAAGAGGGAATAAGTCCCTATACATGTTGTTAAACATATGCAAATTAAGGCAAAACACATAATGATCCCAAGCTACTTTATAATTCCCCTCTCTATAGTAATAGAATTAGTACTGTGGTATGTAACTGGCCAACAATCAGATGATTGCAGTAACTCCAGTACACTAGTAGATAAGGAACTCACTAACAGCCTAATGCTAAGAAAATCATTTCACTCTCAAGGATAATAATCAACCAAAATCTACAATGCATAGTCAAACAATAATGATTATTATTTAAAATGTCAACAATAACAATACATTGGAACCTCTGATAACGAAACTTCTTTTTAAAAAACCACTATGCATTGAAAAAAAATTAATGCACCAACTTCATTCCTTAAATCTCTTTAATGAAACTTTCAGGTAATGAAAAAAATTTGTTATCCCAAAAGTTTTGTTTTTCAACAGTTCAACTGTATATGACTGAAATTTCTAAATTTTGATTGGAATCAGCTCAAACTAGATATGCAACATCAGAGCATGTATAGAGCACTATTTTGCATCACATCATTTAGTGATAAAATAACATATCAACTATTTATAATAGTAAAGAAAATAATCCAACTATTGTTAAAAATTAATAAATAATAAGTCGGGATTTTTTAAAATCACAAACATACAAGAATCCATCTTTATCAAATGTTAATCCACTAGGATTATCAAACTGATCAATATTACTGCCTTTCCTTCTAAACTTACTAACAAACACGCCATCACTGGTGAAGACTGATATACGATTATTACCCCATTCACTAACATACACTAGACCAGTAGCTGCAGTGTCTATTGCTATACCATATGGAGTATTAAGCTGCCCGTAACTAAATATTCTATTACCAAACTGACTTATATAATTTCCATCTGAAAGGAACTTTTGAATGCGATTATTCAAGCAATCAGTAACATACACTAATCCTTGACTGTCAATAGCAATGTCATGTGGAGACTGAAACTGTCCATTAGCTGATCCTTTACTACCAAATGAATGAGAGAAGGTTAGATCAGAATTTAAGACTTGTATACGATGATTGTCTTTATCAGCAATATAAACCTGTCCTGTTATAGGAGAAATGGCTATACCAGCAGGATACTTGAATTGTAGTGGTCCACTGCCCTCCTCACCAACTGATGCTATAAGGTATCCATCCATGCTTATCTTCTGGATCCTGTGCCTATCAGATACAAGAATAAATTTGTCTGGAGTAATGGCTACACATGGAGGAGAAGAAAATTTGACATTACCACTTCCTCCTACCCCTCCTAATAATTTTAATTCCTTTCCTTCTCTATCCAGTATTGTTACACAGTTACCACCATACTCAGTTATTATAACTAGATTATCATCACTTATAGCAACTCCACAGGGATAATTAAGCTCAGTTATAGTACGTACTGGAGTGACGTTATCAAGGTAAGGATTGATAGGGATGACTAGTGAGGTATCCTCAAGGTGTACATCATATACTTGTACCTTTACTGTATGAGTACCACTGGTTGAAGGGTTACACTGTATCCTATACACTCCAGGATCAGTGATGGTGGTAGTGACTGTAGTGTGAATGAGTTGATAACATTTATCAACTGGTACTAGACTACACCTCAGAGAAGAGAGGGGAACACACAAAACAGATGAATCTGGTGCCTCCATTGATAATAGAAATGAAACTTTCTTCTCTTTTGGTAGACGTTCACAGCAACCAACTTTCTTCACTCTACACTGCTGTAGTGCAGTAGATGAGTAGGTCACAATATCTCCAAGTTGATGCAGTGATTTGATATTTTTACTAAATACAAAGTCGGCTTTTTCCTTTGGATGTAACCCCTCCACATTGATCTGTGCAGTAACTTCACTCATATGCTCCATCATCTGTTTCTTAGACCTCAGGAATTGTTGAGGACTGCCTGTCTTCAAATTCTGCTCCAGATAACCCTCAACATCCTCCAGAAGATTCAACCTGTTTTCTGCTGATTTCATTTGCTCTGACAGCACTTTTAGTTTAGCATCAGTGACCCTCTTTGCCTGCTCAGTCAGTTTCCTCTCTGACTGGCGAAGAACATTGATCATTTCCTCTACCATTTCATGTATTTCTCCTAAAACTCCTTGTCCTCTCTCTCTGATCTCACCCTCTCTCTCTGCTAGAGCAGATAGGACCTTCTTGAGTGCTTCCTTCTTTCCCTCAACTGGTGATAGACATTCTCTTAACTTTTGACAGTGTTTAGTGTAACTGTCAGCAATTAAGTCATATTCATGATGTTCGTGATTATGAAATTGACAGATTACACAGATTAATGATTCACAAGTTTCACAGAAGAACTCCAAAGCCTTTTCATGATCACTACACATGGCCTCTTGAGTATTTGCTAATCTAAGACTGTATATTTCTTTGAGGTTGATGAGGTGAAATGCTACAGGAAAGGCTCCTGCTCCTTCTTCTGGTAACTCTGTACAATGACGACAAATGGGACAAGAGAAGTAATAGGTCTCATTCTTCTTATCCAGAGGTAATCCCTCCAGACAGTGCTGACAGAATGAATGTAGGCATTCAGGTAAAGTCTTAGGGTTGGTATAGTGGCCAAGACACACAGGACAGGTGAGCTGTTCCTCCAGTTCAAGGAGACCAGGAGAAGAAGATGAAGATGGTGTGGTTGCCATTCAATACTGTATGGTAAGTAAGGTAGAAGACAGTATCCAAAGACTGAATGAATAGCAGTGAAGTAGCAGGAACAAAAAAGAATGGAAATTTAGGAAAGCAAAATGAGTGACTGAGAATAGCCTTGAGAACAGTTTGAAAAAATAGTCATGAGTGACTTGATTGGAGGAAGTTATGATAGCTACAATAACTACAATACTGAAGGTAATCCTTAACTAGTGATAAGGGCTTTAACAATATTCACATGTTGTGCATGTATCATTTTTTTGAGGTTTACATGCATATAGTCTGCAACTGTGTGATTCAGAAAAATTATACAAGTCATAAAATAAATAAATAAATTATATGACATCTATTTTAACGTATCCACTATCCAGATGTATTAGTAGATTAAATTTACACATGAAATGCTCTGGAGCACAAGGAGAATGCATGAAATGCATTAGTGGGCCCACCCCCACAAAGAACACCTACTGTACATATACACTGAAGTGGTATGCTTGCCTTTCAAATGTTTCCTGACTATATCACATCAATTGACATTATTATACATAGTTATACATGTACATGTAACTAGGAGTGATGTACAAGGCAAACAGACAGACATCCCACAAGTACGAACTTCACCAAAATAAAGCAAAGCATTTTAATACATACATGTAAAATAGGAAACAATAATTTACGCGTATAATATATAATACACATAATAAATAAAATACATTGCTATACCTTGAGTCCTCTTCCTCTCTCTCCACTCCCAATGTAGTCTCTCTTATCCCCGGCTACATGTACAACTGCTGTAGGACTGTATTCATGTAACAAGTGGCCCCAGCATTCTTAAGACCAACGTCACCACAGGGACATCTACCAATGGTGAGCAGACAAAACGAAAAGTATAGTAGAGTAATGGAAGAGAAACATGAAACAGAGAGAGAGAGGAGAGGGTGTGAGAGAGAGAAAAAGAGGGAGGACATAAGTAATTAGATACATTAATGACATGTAACATTATAATGTTATTATTACTCTAACTTAGGTATCACTTACTATACCTCCCTCCCTCTACCCACCTCTCTTATTTCCTCCTCTCCTTCTTTCTCTCTTTCTATCTCCCTCTCTCTCTCTCCCCCCCTTCCTCACCTCCTATTCTTTAGAGTTCATTAGTCTAAAGCTGTGATGCATTGCTATCAACCTATTGGCTACAGACTTCAAGTTAGCAAAACAGTCTATAGGGAATTCAATGAGGAGATCATAGGCAGCAACACTAGCAGCAACATCACAATATCTATTGGAGGAATAATAATAATAATAATAATAATAATAATAATAATAATAATAATAATAATAATAATAATAATAATAATAATAGCACAGTAAATATTGAAAGAACAAGTACATACATACATGTACATGTATACTCTACAATAACAGCTAAATTATCACAGATGCCAATCTACAATTCCCTCAATAACTACACAGTAAAACATCTATATGACAGAAGTAAAAAATATTGTGGATGATTGTTTCCAGGACTTCCTTTGATAAATAGTAAATAATAATGACTAGAGCAAGTATTATCTCAATACTAAGAACCGCAGCTACTGACTCAGGACTGAAATCACCAGGAAAAGTATAATTCCTTTCCATCCTTTTCTTTTACAAGACTACATTATAAACTAACAAACAAAAATCACTCAATATATATGTATGCATACACAAACGTAACTTAGCTAAAAATACATCCCTTGAAATGAAACTAGATCTGTTAAGGATTTGCTTGCACAAGATAAGTAAGCTAAAAGTCAGTTTTTGTACACTTGTGCTTCATTTGCTAAACTCAATTGACCGAAGATGGAAGAGCTATGGTCAACTGTTATCACTATTATACCTAGAGTGCTATCATTATAAATTTATAATGCTGTTAGTGCCATATAGGGATTTTATTTTGTTGGTATAAAATTTCGCAAATCTTACCTTCTGCAGCCATTTTTCCTAGTGTACCACACCATTTTTGTGGAATTTAATTTTGTGAATTCAATAAAAACGCAAAAATAGCAAAATTTATTTCTAGTGAAATATAACCCCTATATAGTCTTTATGAAATAATAATAATAACAAATACACTCAACTTTATAAAAAATAAGATAATGACACAAACAACAAAGGGAGTGTTCTGCATGCATGCATACATGGTGACTGTAGCATTAAAAAATTTATACTCAAGAAGAGAGTCAATGGATGAAGGTAATGTACAATGTTTATACATCAAGTGAGCTAACACGTATATCCAGCACAGCAGATGATGAATTACATGTACTTGATATAGCTAATGGATAAGATTTATTCTTCAATATCTTACAACAAACAATATTAGCAATAACACTATTGATCTCTGGCCTAAAGTAGGCCTGAATAACTGGACTCAAGGTAATGACCAGGAAAAAGAATATAACAGCAGTTATCATAAGGACACCAGGAAAATCAACAATAGCTAATAAAGCAGAGAAGAATATGCTAGGAGTGAAGAATATCCCATAGACTAGCATCATGGATCCAAATATCCCAAACAATCTCTTCTTCTTTGAAGCATAGACACCCTCGCCTACTATCATTGACTGATTATTAATAAACTTACGAGTGAAACAAAATGTCCAAACTGATGTGATAATAATGATTATAAATATCAATGAAGCAAAGAAAAAACGGAAGATAGCCATAACAGGGCTAGTAGTAAAAGCATAGCAAACTCCTAGATAATTTATATAGCGGAATTCAACACCAGAGCCATCAATGAATCCTGAAGAGAAGAAGGCTGTATCAAAACTCCACACAATAATGACAAGGACCAGAGCTATCCTTGGAGTCATGAATCGCTTGTGGAGATGAGGTTTTACTATAAAAAGGAACCGATCGATTGAGACAAGACACAGCGTCATAAGCATCACATAGATACTGAGTAAATTCACAAAACCAGTAAAACCACATGTTCCTTGCTTCTCCTCATCAGTACTACCAATGATCCATTCACGAGCAGCTAATGCACTGATAGTGAAAGGAAGATAGAGCGTTAATACAAGGTGTGCCAGTATGAGAGAAGTAAAGAATATTGTTGATGATTGTTTCCAGGACTTCCTTTGATAAATAGTAATGACTAGTACAACACCATTAGCTATGAGAGCTAGTATCATCTCAATACTAAGAACTGCTGCTACTGCCTCAGGACTGAAATCACCAGTAAAAGTATAATTTCTTTCCATCCTTTCTATCACAAGACTAAACTAATAAACAAAGATCACTTAATATATGAACATACTTATGTGTATGTAAATGAATATCTGTCATATATGGTATTCATGTAGATTTGCATGTAAATTTTTAAAAGCAACAAAGCTTGGGAAAATTTCCTTTGAAATGATATCATATATATGATACTATATATATATACATGATATATATGATATGATACATATATGATACCATATGTCCTTTGCTTGTACTAGTACATGTAAACTAAATTTTTGTGTACATGAACTTCCTTTATTGCTATAGTCGGTTTCAATTGAGTTTGACCGGATGTTTTCGTCATCAAAACGTCACGTGTAGCCACACCCACACACAAATAAAATGGCTGAAAACTCATGCTCTTTTCTTCTTGTTGTAACTTGTTTATTCTCCTCTTTTGGTCACTGTTAACCCTGCAATTGACATGGAGGATCTTTGTGCTTGCTATTACCTGAAGAAAGAAGTGAGATGTGTAAAATTTCAATCGAGTTTCTGAGCGTCAATAGTGACGACAAATAAAGAAGGCTTACAGAGGCACAGCAGAGTAAGTGAGACTTCTTTCTGGAGTGCAAATTAAGTCTTCTAGTTCAATTATATCTTGGCCTGGAGTGTTGCATTTGCTTTATTTGATTTTTAAATAATAAAACAGGATTACTGATATATTTAATGAAATGCAAATTATATTTACGAAGCTTTTCGTCATGAAACATCACGGTGGCTCCCTTTCATGTTTACCGGAAGAACCTTTTGAGAACCTTTCAGAGTACCTAATGACTCCAAAATTGGTACAAATTTTTGGAAGAACCCGTTTTGCAACCATACCAAGTTTCAAGCTGCTAGCATAAACTATGAAGAAGTTATAAGGGTGGGTCAGTGGTCAAACTCAACTGAAGCCGACTTTACTATATACATTTTACAATTTACATATTTGTGCTTTATTTATGTACTGTATTTGCCTGATTAGAAGCCCGGGCATTTATTCATTAACAAGGAAAAAAATTTGCTTAAAAAGAAAAATAGTTGCTAAAAGCCGGAAATCAAACCCATGTCCCCTAGGTTGTCAAACTGTGCTTCAAGAGTTGAGCTATTTGGAGCAATCTAAAGTTGAGGTTACCTAAATTGGGTAAAATATGCACATCTATAGTGAGAATATTTTAAGGATGGGCGTTTATTTAAGCTGGGCTTCTAATCAGGCAAATACGGTACAATTGTACATGTACATGTACATAAATAAAGCACAAATATGTAATTGTACACAAGTAAATAAAAAAATTAAAAATGGGAAAATAGTAGGATTAAATTGTAAAATAGCAAGGAAACAAATCATCACCATGCAACACCATTACATGAAGATTATTACCCAAAAGCACAGTATGCACACAGCTACGATAGCCCTAGAAGCCTTTACCTTCATGCACTGATGCAGGATTTCTTACCACACCAGTTTGCAAGTACCCTCTTGCTTCTTTACTGTTTTCCCAATTGGATCCTACTATTTTTCCATTTTTAATGGTTTTTTTATTTACCGTACTTCCTCAAATGGGGCCCTACTCAAATATGCACCTATCACTAATTATATTACCATTATAGTTTATCCCAGTATAGAGCTGTTGCACGGATGTAATCAACGGGGTAGGTGGAGCTTCCTGTCGGCCATCTTGAGTGGCAAGAATGTACACGCAATGAATGGAGGAATGGAAAGAAACTGCGATTTTTCATCAAAGAGATATGATACTTTGCTGCAGAATATTATAGAGACTTCTTTACTCAATATCTTCATCTCCTATCTTGCATTAGCCTGGAATGTCAACTGCAGAATTTATTTAAATTTTTTTCTCCGTTCCCCCATTCATTCTTGGCCTTCTTGCCACCCAACATGGCGGACAATTTAGCTCAATTTTAGCCACACCCTCCCGTTGATTACTTCCGTGCAACAGCTCTATTATGTGCCCCTCTGTTTAGAGTGGTCCAAATAGCCTAATTGTTCATCCTCAGTCCTCAGAACATAGAGTCGCAGGATTAAGCCCTGGTTTTGGCACATTTTTATTTATTTTTTTGTGATCTTTGCAATAAGCAATAAACGCCTGAGCTCTTTTTCGAGGAAATACGGTGCTTGTTTCCATTTCTGTATTAATTATTTATTGGACTACTTATAAATGATTTAAATTTACAAGATTTAATACTTATGTCTTATTGTAAATGTGCAGTAGTGTGCGTATCGAAATGTAGTATTAGACAAGAATATGGATCTAACATGAATGAACTAACCTAATAATCTTTTCAAGAGAAAAATTAAAACATTCTGTGCGCCTTTCCCACAGTACTAGGTCAGCGTTGTTGGGTGAGGTCAGTTTCTATAGCAACAAGGTAGCGGTAGAATTCAAGAGAAGATGAAGGAAGAAATGGTGTGGAGTCTCTGAAGGAGAGGGACAGGGTCTCTTTTTGGTTGACTGGACTGATCCTCTTCTGAGTCTTCATAAGACACTGAGAAAAGAAAGAAATAAAATATTAATGTTAAGAGTAGATTAATGATTATTGTAAAATCAATGTACCGGTAGTTAGTTTTTTAAGAAGGAAATTTTGGTGATTCACTACAAATTTTTTTTTGCAATTGGCTGGTTTTAATTTGACAAATTTGTAGCTATTTGCCATTGAGCATACACATAATAGTCTGATGATGGTTGGCTTTTTAATGCCAAAATTCGACAAATTTTCTCTACCATTTTTACAGCATGCATTTATTAATTATATCCTACCTGAGCAAAAACAAAGATCATAAAATTAATTCCATAATTTCGTTCTGTAGGTCAGGCTGAGAGGAGCCCAGCAATATGTCAATCACAAACTCCTCTACACATCAGAGCTTGTAAGATATTTTCAAAGTTTTTTTACAAAGTTTTAGATAAGTAATGAGAAGTTCTAGACACTCTTGGACAATAGTAACATCCTACAGTGGAAAAAATACTATTAATAGATTATTAGGTTTGATATTATTATTGATATTATCAAGTTAATAATACATGTACATGTAGATTTGTTACTAATAATAGAATAATAGATTACCAGGTTCATTAATTACTAGGTTCATTACTATTAATAGATTATTATAGGTAACTGTTATTATTAATAGATTATAAAGTAATTGTTACTATTAATAGATTATAAGGTAATTGTTGCTATTAATAGATGGTTACTATAAATAGATTATTAGGCTCGTTACTATGGATAGGTAAGCTGTTACTATTAGTAGATCACATACCTTACCATCAACTGCGCTGGTAGTGGAGGAACACATACCAGACCTCAACTGATCACTCCACTCTCCTATAGCAAGATACAGTTTACCAGATTCTGTTGACCAGCAGGCTCTCATTAGACAAGTGAGTATGTATCATTGGACATAGTCTAAGTACATGTGTGAAAGATGAATACATTAATAAAATATACATGTCATGTACATGTATAAATACTGGCTCATGCAGTACAATGTTAGACCTAGAAATAAGTTTTGGAGACAAATCTAATTTAAAATGAGAGACTTAAGCCTAGACCAAAAAACGAGAAACCATTTTCTATATGTACATGTACAGGTGTGTGCAAGTATATATGCATGTACATGTACACTGTATATGCACTTTAATACTTAATGTAAAACAAATGCAATGAAAGCTAATGATGGCAATCTTTAAATTAGTGCTATTACATTACAATTTACTAGGTATGAGAATAAAGATTTGTTTCCCCCCTATAAAGAAACGGATTTAGCTGCATCTACACCTCTAGTGACTTCAACTTTAGCTACCCCCACCGACAAGAAGTATCATGGCAGGAAGCAAAAATGAAAGCTCATATCTCAGTAATTTTTTTAGATAATGGGATTTGGAACACATCATTAGCAAACATATTAAGTCAATCAAATAAATATCCTAAAAATATACCAAACTTACCCTTTAAGTCAGTGGTGATCATGCAGTCTGATCACAGAAAAACAAATGTACATGCACATACTTGCCAGCAACATAAAGTAGGACATGTACATATATACATTGTACAAGTAGTCAAGTAATGGGTGATTGATTATCAGTTAACATACAAGTGTAAAACAAATGTAATGCATAACATTATAATTCTTATGCTAATATTTTTTGATCAATATTACAATAACTTACAATTTTCACTAGTAATGAGAAGACAAACACTTTAAAGTTAATGAGCTGAACAACTGAACTGTACCTTAGAGAGAAAAGAGAGAGAGAGAGAGGAGAAGAAAGAATGAGAGTAAGACAAGACAATTACTCTAAAACAACACCCACAAATAAGCAAAATGTATGAGTAAACAAAATTAATATGATAATCAATCAAGCGCAATTGTACAGATACAACCCCAATAAAATTAATAACAATACATTACAATAATATTAATGTATAACGTGATCAAAGACAAAGACAGTTGAGTGGTCAGGGTGTCATACAGGGGGGATTGGAAAGAGGAAAATTCCTCCTACTCTAAGTTTTCCCCACTAAATTAGTCTGTGTAAATTTAATAAACACAGTGGCTATAGGTCTGGTAACTGGATTTGTCTGGCAGAACTATATGTCTAGCAGTGGGCATGTAGAGGCTTCGCCCCTATATACCTTAAGGAGACAATTGTATGCGGGTATTTAATTTAGCGAATTTTAGCGATTTTTAAAAAATCGCTAACTTAAGTCCGCGCTAATTTTAATTTCTTAATTGAAAGTGGGTGTGGTCACAATGTATAAAATGGCGGCCGTCAGCAAGTCTAAGCTTACTTGAGCAAACAGTCAGCAAGATAGTACTAAACTGCTGTCCAAAGACTTCTCTAGCAGTTAGCCTAAGTTAACAAAGCAGATGATAATCTTCTTCGTTCAGTGACTGCTTCTAACTGTAAGCAAGATAACTTTACATGTGGCTGCAGAGTCAGTGATGAAGCAATTTAAGCAAGATTAATGCAACAAGATCTACTGTATTAGAGCATTTAGACTTGTGCAATTGCTTTGCTTGCTCATACATGTAGATCACAGCATGTAATCTATAGCTTGCTTAGGTTTGTCCTATTAATTCTTCTAGCCTGCATGGAAGTTATTAATACCAAATGATCAAAAACGCTAAATTAAGTACCAGCCAAATGTCAGTTTCATGAAAATCGCTAAAATAAGTACACGCTAATAATTGTCTCCTTAAGGTAGTATACTGGGGCTTCGATCAAGTATAGATATGACAATCAGCGATGTTCAAGCAGCAAGATCGTGGTGGCACAGTGGGGAAGGTGCCAGGATAAATCTGGATGCAGGGCACTCGTTTGAATCCAGCTAAAATCTTGGCAAAATTCCTGCTGTTTTTTAACTTCTAAAATCACCTTTTATATAATCTTAGGAGTCCCCTAGTTATGTTAGGAGTCTCCTACATGTAGTTAGCTATTGTTTCTAGGGTTTAGGGATTAGGGTGGCAGTTTTTTTAGAGTGCCCCTAGTAATACCTATATTCTTGGGCATAAAATTTCGCGATTTAGCTGCATTTCTGTACTTGCAAATAAAAATTTCATGATTTTAATGTAATTACCACACCTACTATACAATCAACACGCTACTTTGTGGATTTAATTTTGCAAATTTTTCCAAATGTGAAAATCGTGAAATTTAATCCCCACAAAATATAATGGCGTATACAGTATTAGGACTCCCCTAGTTATGTTATGAGTCCCCAAGGTTGGTTTAGGGTTTTTTTAATTTCAGAGCGTCCCCTAGGTTTTAGAAGTCCCTCATTAGCTTAGAAGCCCATGATAAAACTAAGTTCAATTTTGCATCAATGCACATGCACATAAGGTTGTTTTATGGAGAAAAAAGGACTGCCAGACATAATAGTTCTGCCAGACAAATCCAATTACTGGACCTATAGACCCCCTAGGCACTAAGATTATTTTCAATGAATATGATTATGATAATGATATTCATTCATAATAAATAAAATTTTCCTATACGGTATCCACCCACGATGTAAATTACTGACGGCAAGAAGGCCTCGAGATCAAAAGAAAATCAAAGACGGTGACACCACCTGGCCATTTTTTTTAGCGCTACAAGGTACTACAGGCTTACAAGCAGCATTTTTGGAAAGTATGGAGGCCAGACTACATCATATAGACCAGGTAACTGTTGCTGCAACATAGTTTTCTTGCTATGCTTCATTTCGGCACCTCGGGCTTTGATCTGCCTTTGATGTGGAGAGCTTCTTGCCGTCAGTAATTTTAATCGTGGGTGGCTACCGTAAATAATTCATACAAAATAGTCTTAGCGCCTAGGGGGTCTATAAGCCACTGCCTTTAATAAATGGGTTCATACTTGCTATAATTCACTGTTGTTCATTACACAATTGACCTAAACATGTACACCTGTACCGGTAAAACCAAATTTTGATTTATCAAAAAATAAAATCCCCAAATATTATGTCATAATTTTTGTCATGTCTCCCCGATGACAAAATCCTGTATGAATCCCTGGTAGTTGTATATATTTATACAGTATCTCTCCAGTATCTCTCTGACTCACTTTTCATTTATCATCTTAAGAACAGAGACTGTGAAGTGAATGAATCAGGATTGTAACTAAATCTGGGTGGGGAAGTCGGTTGCACGTGTAACCACGTGGGTGCCATAAGTAGGTGTGGCCAATAGTCATTGCATAGTCAATGGCTACAAGGAGTTATTACAAACTGCTTGTGATGTGCTGATAATTCTCCTTTCCTCTTCAACAGATTGTGTGAATGTTGTTGGATTGCAGTAAGCTTACATGTGCAGTTGTTTTATAGCTACATGAAATTATCGGCTTCAGTTACTACAATTTAACTGCTGATTATAGAGGTTAGAGCACAGGGTTTGTTTGTGTAGAATTGTGTGTCATGATTTAGATAAGTAATTGTAATTCACTGACTTACACACGTACATTCATTCTATTACAGTGACTTGTCTATTAATGTATTTAGAGTAATATGTAATACATATACAGACTATCTATGCAGTAAGTAACAATGTATACACATGTAGCCACTTAGGGTACATTAGATTCATTCATTGTACAACTTTCAGAAAGGCCCACCATGTAATTGCTTGCCAGGTTTATTCCATTATGACTCAGTAACCTTATATTATTATGTAGCTAATTACTAAAAATGTCTTTATTTATTAAAAGCACTACACATGAATCATTTTTAACAATTATCTGCATGCAAATAGTTTCAGTTAATTGTTATGACATGTTTTTATCTCAGAAAACTTCAGAGAATAGTAATATCCTTTCCAGTTCACCCAACTAATTCCACGTCCATATCCAGCTCTGGTTGGATTATGATCATATTGACCATTTAAATTTGATTGGTAACAATTGTGAAACCACCAGGCTCCAACATAGCGTTGAGCACAATTTACACTTTGGTACTCATTGTTATTTCTGTCTCTAGTTGTAATTTTTTTTCCATTATGGAAAGCTAAACTATCCGTAGCAGTCCCTGAATATTGTGTTGCTGTTAGAAGTGGAGTCACCAACTTAAATCCATAGTATTTTGCTTCCGCTTTAATGTTTTCAAAATCTTTTAGTTCTACTCTTAGTGTACTTGATCCTTATTTAGTAAGATGATGAATCTTGCTCAGCCTTAACCAAAACCCACCAGTAAAATTGCCAAATCCTTTCTCATAGTCAGTCCAGTATTTATAGAAATCAACAGATCCATCTTGTCTCCTCTGAAATACAGTCCATCCACCACCATCAGTCTCCATATCACAGTATACCTGTGATGCAATAGGGTATCATTATAAAGTATAACACAGCTGGTCCATTGTCTGGTTTTATAGGATATACTCCATTTTCTTTGATTCCCAGTTCTTTCCATGCTTTACAGTCAGTTAGCATTACACATTCTATAGTAAACAAGAGTTCATTAATAGTTTCAATGTTATTTCATTGCATTACAGTATTATACCTGGTGTAGCATTAGTCTTAGTAATAATGACAACTGGAGTAATGATAACAACAGGAGTATTAACAACTCATCATCAGGACTGTTTCCATGGACAGTATTAATGATGATTATTATCATTACATTGTACATCTGATTACCAGTTAGATCTAGCATCATTTTTGAAAAGAATCTCAGCCAAGGAAGATAGCAGTATAAAATAATCACTGAGTATAGTGAGATATACTCCTCTATTATAATGACGTGATTGCAGTGTCACCGTCACACTGACACAGTTGTAGGAGTATTGTTGTGTTAATAAGTCGTGATGTTTGGATTGCATGTTATCGCTTATATTACACCACATACACGTACATGCAATGTCATCAGATTTTATTGTACACTGATTTTGCTATTCTATTGCACTATGACTTGACATTGAACTGTGCTATACACATTTAAATTGATTTCCATATTTATTTACAGGAAGTAACTATTTTGTTAAATGTTTTTTAGTTAAGTCAAATTATAGTTATACATTTTTAGCCAGATTAAATCCTGTTATACTATGACGAGTGAACTTGAGACTGTAGTTGAAGCATTCCCAATCATACCACATGATTCCATGCCATTTAGCAGCTTCAGTTGGATTAGTATAATAACATCCATTAAGATTTGACTTTAAACCACGAGGCACCATTTAAATCAGCAGCACAATATGTTGCATGTACTGTATGTGTACCTTCTTATTTCTTAACATACACTCTGTTCTATTAAGACAAACAATTTTGTGGTAATTTTGTTGTACATGTATGTGTATTTTTAATGTACATGTAAGTAGTATGTTATATATAAATGAGAGAGAAATGGAGAGAGGAAGGAAGGAAATGTGTGGGTGTATAAGCTAAAGTACCTATTTGTACATTCCTAATAGCACTGTATTGTGTACTAGTATGCATGTACTGTACAATATGTATAGTACATGTCAACATGTACTATTTTTATTGCTGTTGCTATGTTCTAAAATTGACCCATTAGTTATATGAGTTATTAATTTTACACCAATGCATTCAAATTTTTTACTATATGTTATAATAAATTAAAACTAGTATTAATTACATCCTAAAGGTAATTCCCCTATTTCCTTATTGCTAAAATTATGATTCTTTATTACCTGCAGGTACTGAAATCACTTGCCGAAGCTGTGGTATTTGTTTTGAGTGTACCATCAACCAGTGGTCAGATATATGTATGACATGTCATGCTACAAGTAATTGTGATAATTAAGATTAACATTAATGAGAATAATATCATTGATGTTAATTACTATGAGTGTTAACTTATACATGTACATGTATATTTAGAGGGTTTTTTCAAAGTCCATGTTGAGGTTCTGATAGCATTAAAGCCAGTTCATCCATTACCTGAAACCAATCACATTGTTTTGCAGTTGACCTGTGCTCTCACATACTGTGTATACTCCATGCAGACATTGTTTTCACTATTATTCTCTTATGTTTATCCTCGTTATACTGGTAATTGGGTGCTACAATATTTTTTTCCTAACAAAGCTTCTTTGCCTGTAGGAGCTTTTTGTTACTAAAATTGCAAGTTCTACTAACTTAAGTGTTGTATGAACTATAATCATATTTTGTTGCTTTGCAATTAGTTGTGTGTGCTAGCACTAAATTTTGAGAGCACAATATAATACCCACGTTAATCAAAATGATGTACTCTTGATGACATTGCATGGTCATGCACATTATGGCTGTTTTTTACTGTAGTTGATTATTATCTTTATGGCATTGGCTAGAGGTTGTTCAAAAGTTAAGACAGGTCCTCTCCTTTGCACACAGAGACAGCAATGAAACACTGACTGATGTAAGTTATGAACTAACAGTGCAGATTTACTTACCTCAACTCTCCCTACCTCTCTTTCCTATATCCTTCCCTGTTATTAAGGTAAGGTTTGTATGTTAAGGGATGATGGTATTCCTGATGCTTGTCTAATTGAATGTGATGGATTAGATCTTGAGTCTTTATAGTATACTGTGAGAGGTGTAAAAATAATTGCGTTTTTATGTAATATTAGTATAATTGTGATTAGTATGTTATTATTTATTATTTCATAGACTACTCTATTGTCATGCAATTGACCTGTGCTCGCATATTGTGTGCACTCCATGCAGACGTTGTTTTCACTAATATTCTCTTATGTTTATCCTCGTTATACCGGTAATTAATTTTGGTACTACAATATTCTTTTTGTTCTAACAAAGCTTCTTTGTCTGTAGGAGCTTTTTGTTGCTAAAGTTACAATTTCACTAATTTAGTGTTGTATGAACTTGTTCCAGTGTATTGCTATCATATTTTGTTGCTTTTCCATTTATTTTGTGTAATGCAGACATTGTTTTCACTACATATTCTTTTATGTATATTGGTATTAATTTTGGTGCTACAATATTTTTTCCTCATAAACCTTCTTTTTCTGTACAAAGAAGGCTATGATGACAAGAATCTTTATGATATTGAGCGGTTAAGAATATGATGGAAAGGATGACTTCCCTCAACAGCTACATGTACATGTAATAGCTAATCTGCAGATACATGATACTAGTCTTGCTAGCCAGACCATTCCCCAGCCTACAGTCATTTGGGTGGACCAAATGACTGTAGGCTGGGGAATGGTCTGGCTAGCGAGACTAACATGATACTGTTCCAGCTGGAAGGAAAGGTCTATTTTGTATCATTGGCACACAAGTCTTCATAATCCTTATCCTTATGTATATACTCAAGAGTAGACTATTATTTACTCTTGATATACTGTATAGCTAGAAATTTCTGTGGCCCAAATATTTTACAAATTTCCATCAAAATGGCTTTTGCGGATTTTATTTTTGCAAATTCACTATGCCTTTTAAATTGGCCAATAAATTGTCTAGTAAATTTTGAGGATTAAATTTCTGCATTTTTTCCAAATTTGTAAAATTAGCAGAAATTTTTGGGCCACAAAAATTTCTAGCTATACAGTATGTACATGCATGTAGACTCTAAGCTAGTGTTCTACTCTTAAAATGATAGATTGGGCTTCTGAAATAGTGTGATGCTATTGAACTGCATTGATTTTCTTCCTATTTTTGAAATTATTAAATTTTGCTAAATCTGGGTCCCCTTGAAAACACTAAAATTTAAGACTGCAATTAATGCCTACTCTAAAATACGTTATAACTTTCATCAAAAGTCATGCACTCTTATATTGAATGGCCATGCCCATTATGGCTGTCTCTTGTTATAGCTGACTATCGTTGTGGCTGATTGATTACCTTTGTGCATTAGCTAAAGGTTATTCAAGAATTAAGACAGGTCCTGTCTTTTGCACACAGAGACAGCAATGAAACACTGACTGATGTACATCTAAGTTACATTGTATAGACTAACAGTGCAGATTTATTTACCTCAATCCTCCCTCCATTACAAACCTCTCTTTCCTTATGTTTTCCTTGTTATTTAGGTAAAGTTTGTGTATTATGGTGCTTCTGATACTAGTCTAATTGAATGTGATAGATTGAGTCTTAAATCTTCAGTACTGTGAGAGGTGTAATAATTGTGTTTTTATGTAATACCGTATAGCGAAAATTTTATTGGCCCAATATTTTCACGGATCCGTCCAAAATCAGTTTCATGGCTTTAATTTTTGTGGTTTTTCTTAATTTCGGCCATCTTAAACCGTATAGAATTGATTTTTGCGGATTTTATTTTGTGGGTTTTGAAAAAAAACGTGAAATCCATGAAAATTTTGGGCCACGAAAATTTTCCGCTATACGGTATTAGTAAAATTGTGATTAGTATTTTATTATTTATTATACTACTCTATTGTCATGTAATTGACCTGTGCTTGCATATTGTGTACACTCCATGCAGACATTGTTTTCAATTATTTCTTATGTTTATCCTTGTTATACTGGTAATTTGGTGCTACAATATTCTTTTTTTTCTAACAATACTTTGTGTGTGTAATGCAGACATTGTTTTCACTAATATTCTCTTGTGTTTATCCTTGTTATACTGGTAATTTGGTGCTACAAAGCTTCTTTGTCTGTAAGACCTTTTTGTGACTAGAATTACAATTTCACTAATTAAGTGTGGTGTGAACGTGTTACAGTGTATCACTATCATATTTTGTTGCTTTTCCATTAATTGTGTGTGTATAATTCATTAAGTTTTTAAATAAGTACTCATTAGCACTTACGCATTGTTCACAGCTATTATTTTATTATTGTAGACTGTTTAAACAAGTAGTATTGATTACATTATCATTGCATGCTCAATGTTACAGAAACATGGTCATTCTAGTTTTCTAACATAAAAGTTTATTTTCTTGCCTACATTAATGTACATGTAATGCATGACCTCCAGCACGAGCATGTGATGAGCTCATGTAGATTATGACTGTCTTGTTATAGTGTAGAGTATTGTTCTCCTTTGAGTTGAAACATGTAGTAGGAAATTAACATCCATGTTGGCACTCCTGACTGTTTAATTAGAGTTGCATGATAAGCTCATGCAGAGAGTGAAGCAATAGCAAAACAGGAAGAAAGATAGAGCAGTATATCTCCTACCTGTGGCAGAGTATGAATGCCAACCAGTGTAGCTCTTTTAGCAATATTTAGTAATGCATAATTACAGTCTGGCATTGTTATTTTTGTGTTTGACATGAATGCCAATATAAATTTTGAGTATTAAAAGATGTTGATGGTGCATCATGTTTTTGGAGTTTCAATAATCATTACTTTTAAACTTCAACTAAGTACGTGTAGTAGATCTGCTAACTGGCAAACCTTAATATGGCTATAGAGAAATGGAGATGTACATGTACTGCTTTATTCTGGTCGCTCTCTTTGCAGGTGCTACTCTTCATTGTTTATTGTAATATTCTTCTTCCTCTTCCTTTTCCTGCTATATCAATCTATATAAGGCAGCTATATCTTCACTAGACATCAGCAACCTTGCCCATCTGGCTAGGTTGTAAACTCTTGTTATATATTTAAGAGTATTGGCCATTGGAAGAGCATATAATATGTTCTCCCAGGCTTACAACAATGCAAATTGCTTGCTTGGAAAGCCAGACCCTCAAACTGGGACCTTCTCAATGGTGCAAGATTTCGGCTCGCTTGATGCAAATTCAGGACTAGGTCCTAGCTATCAATTCTCAATAGGATTCAGCACACTTGCTACACTCAATGGTGGGAACAGCACAGGGATGGGCTGTGGATTTGCTCTCAAATGTGGCAGCTACAGTGCCAGTTCAGGCACCATTACACTCAATGGTGGAGATTCGTACAAAGTCCTTTTTGCAGGGTCTGGCAAATGGGTCCTTAGCCACAAAGCACAAGATATCACTGTCGAAGGAAATGGTGTGAATGAGGCTTACATTTATCATAAGAACGGCGATGTTGAGTACTTAAAGTCTGACTTTGACACAGGCAATACTGATATGTATCTCTCCCGCTATACAAAAGCTGATGGTCGATACCTTGATTTCTTTTATATGTACCAGACTAGCTACTACCGTTTAGTTGAAGTTAGGGACAGTGACAATCAACTCGCTACCATTACTTATGATGATAATAATAACATGACTAAAGTCACTGTCTATCCATCGTCCTCAACCGAAAAGCAGGAATACACTCTCAATTTCAATGCTGATGGTACACTGTGGGCCCTTGAGACACCTACAGGCACTATCAATATTGAATACAAACCAATCCAGGAGTACAAATCAGGCCTTTTCATGTACCCAATCTCTAAAATCACATACCCCACTGGTGCCATCGAAGAAGCAGAGTATGTTGATAATGCAATGGCATTGCCTCCAGATGCTCAAATCGGTTTTATGCCTGCGCTCTCGTACTACACAAAAACCCTTGCAAGCAATCAGCCAGCTATTACAACAAATTACACTTATGATCCTGACTTCAACTACTGGGGGAACAACTCTGGTATGAGCTGGACTGATAATTATGACGGGCTCTTTAATTTAACATGGGCGTATCGTTACTCATCAACAGCTACCTGTGGATCCAAGAAGACCGTTACTACTTACAACAAGTTTCATCAGACCGTTGAAACCGTTGAGACTAATGGGAATGAGAATGTCACCAAGACAACCACTTATGGTTACTATTGCGATGAGGATGCTGTACTGGATGACCAGGAGACCCGGTACGAGTTGCAAAAATCAAAGACATTGGTAGTCCAGGATGCAACGGGAAAAACAAAGACATTCACCCAAACAACAGATTACGATGAATATGCCAATCTTTGTTGTCAAGTGGAACCAAACGAAACCAGTACAGTCTATGAGTACTATGATGCAGGAGGGGAAGATGGTTGTCCAGCCAGTCCAAAAGGATTGGTAGGTTTTAAGAAATCTGAGACCATGAAACCCAATGATGGCACTGCGGGTAAAACAAAAACCTACAGATACAAGGTAATCACAGCAGTTGATGGTGACACTAGCAGATGCATTGTAACCGATACAATGAGCTGCAATGGCAACACGTTTGCTGTTACTTACTATGATAGCAGCAACCCCAAGGCCCAATGTCAGCCAAAGAGTCAAACCATCACTATTGGTGGGAAAGCATCAACAAAGCAATTTGAGTATACATTTGATGCAAATGGCTACACCATAAAGGAGACCATGACAGGATATGATGGCAATTCCTACAGCAATTCCTCTACCTTATCACTATTCAGTGGTAAGACAATGCAAGAAGTAGATCGCACGGGCCTCATTACAAATTATACTTACGGTTCTGATGGGCGAGTATCCAAGATAGTTACCAGTGCCACGACTGATTATGAAAGCTATACTGAGTATGCCTACACGCAAAAACCCAATGGAAACATTGGGACACTCATCACTCAAACAACCAGCACAGGTCAAGTCATGAATATTTATTATGATGGAGATGAGAAAGAGCTCAGCACTGAGAAGCAAGACAGCGGTGGCAATATAAGAAAGTCAAGCGATACATCATACGATGATCAAGGGCGAGTGGTCACAGAGACCAGTTACGATTACAGTATCAGTGAGCAAGAGATTGAGAGCACTTACACTAATAGTGTTACCAAGGTGTACGGCGATTGGGGAGAAATGATTGAGGAACAGCACAATGGAGGAGCCACTGGAATAGATAGGTACACTTTTGATCCGGTTCACTTGCAGAGGAAGCATGAGATTTTGACGTCTAGTAAAGGTACCTCAGTGTCTGGACCTGTACTAACAACCTATGATCTGTTTGGGAATGAGGCACAAATTGATGTACTAACCCTCTCTGGTGGTGTCTACTCTACAACTAAGAAGACATATGATGGCTTTGGTTTATTATCTTCTATAACAACACCAATGTCAGCCACTGCTTCTACTAAATATGATATTTATGAGCGTCCAATTGAAGCTACACATTTTGACGGTACAGTTATATCAATGGAATATCCTGACTTCACTATCAAGCGGCTGACGTCTTCAGTGAAGTTAGCCTCATCTGGTTATGTTTTGGGTCAACATGAATTTGATAGTTTACTCCGTTTGACCAGTCGCACTGTTGGTGATGTTAAGACAAAGTTCAGTTATGAAGGTGCTTATTCTAAACCTTCCCAGTTGGTCAATGGGCTAGGACAAACTGTCCTGTTTGATTATATACCTGCACTGGGCCTGCAGACTGCCAAAGAAGCCACTTTTTCCAAAGAAGTTGCTATTGGAGACTTTAACGATCCCTCGAAGGTCTCGGAGAAGACATTCACCTATGCCAAACCATCCACTTCCGAGGGTTTTCTAGGTCGTCTTGTCTCTGCCTCTTCTCCTGGTAGTCAGCATGCTGTTAAATACACCAGCCAAGGATTTGTTAAATCCTCTACTCAAACAGTGGGGAGTCTCGGGAAAACCCTCACCAACTCTAAAATTACATTCAAAGGAAGGCCTCTCAGTTATTCATTTGATAATCGTTCTCTGGCTGTCTCGTATGATGAATTTGGCCGTATTGTTAGTGAAACAGATGGAGAATTTTCAGTCAATACAGGGTATGATGGTGTGAGTCGTGTAATAAGTGTAACAGTTAAGAAAAGTGGCTCTGTAGTCAGTAAGACTGTTATGACCTATGATGATTATTCTCGTGAAGCATCACGCACTATCACTTGTGGGGGTAAGACAATTGTGATAAATCAGGAATATGACTTGGAAAACAAAGTAACAAAGAGGACAACTACAATTGATTCTTCTTCTACCCTCACTGAAGATTTCACATATGATGTGAAAAAGAGGCTAAGCACATACACAGCCACCACTTCAGTCAGTGCATTGCTACCACGTAATGAATATGGTAAGGCATTCAATTCACAGTCTTTTACATATGATGAGCTGAATAATATCAAGACTCTTATCACAAAGTTTCCAAATAAAGATTCAGACACTGCCACTTACACGTATGATTCATCTAAGAGATTTCAATTGAAGCAAGTAAGTCACTCACTTATCAAAGGGAGCAATGCTTACCCAGGTAAAGTTGCCTTCACTTATGATGCTGCTGGTAATGTCCTTACAGTTGGTGACACCAGTTTGACTTATACTATTTCTGGTCGGATAAGCTCCAAAGGTAGCACCTCTTATACTTATGATGCTTTTGATAGGCTCATTCAGAGTGGTGACACTGCTCGGTACTACTATGGCCTTAAAGTCATTCAAGAAGTCACAGGTTCTGCTGTTAATGATTTCATACTTCATGGCAAAACTGTTGTTGCCCAAGTTTCAGATGGAAAGGCAAAAATATTTGGTCTCAATTCCCAGTCTTCTATTGTTTCAGTGACTGAAGGCTCAACAACAGCTGCTACTACATACGGCCCATTTGGTACTGGGGATAATGGAGTACGTGTTGGTTTTAATGGGGAATTTAAAGATGTTTTTGATCCTAACTTTTATCCACTGGGTAATGGGACACGTAGTTTTATGCCAAGTTTTGGCAGGTTTTCTTCATCTGATACATTATATATGAGCACCAGTGAGATCAATCCTTATGCTTATTGTAATGCTGATCCTGTGAATGCTTTAGATCCTAGTGGCCACAGTTTAGGATGGAATATATTTGGGATGATTGCTGGTATAGCTGGTCTGGCTGGAGCAATTTTTACAGGGGGGTCATCACTTGTTGTAGCTGCTGGAATTATTGGTGGCATTTCTGCTATTGGTTCTGCTGCATTGGGTTTTGCAGCAGATGCTGAGGCTGCTAAAGGTAATGATGACTTATCTGCTACTCTTGGTAATATTTCACTTGGCCTTGGCTTATTTGGAGCTATATTATCCTTTGGTGCTACAGCAGGGTCTGTTGGTAAAGTTGCAAAAGTACGGTCTATGTTCAAAGGAAGAAAAGGTAAATCATTTATGAAGTTTATGGATGACAATGATGCCATCAGTTTTAAGACCAATCACTCTATCAATTTTCGTTCAAAGTCTGGGACAGGTGGTTTCACTGGCTATAAGGAGGTCAAAGTGAGCCCTGATGGTATATTCAGGGGCAAAGAAATCCCGGAATCCAAACTAAGGGCAGGTGGAAAGGTCAGGACAACCCAAGCCCCAATTGTTAAGGCAGACCTTTTCACATCCTCAGGTAATCTGAGGTCTCTTCCAAGCACTTTAAAACAAACTGGATCTCATATGGACATAATTGATTTCACTTGGCAAAATGTCCCTGGCACAATTAGCAGTTTAGTCTCTGCTTTTAGTCCAAGTAGTTCTACTGAAGAACCTACTCCAAGCAGTGATATGTCTGTTGAAGAGGCCCTCATTTCTGCTTATGGTATTCCAACCAACTCTAAATCATTTTATGATGATAGCAGTGATGAGGAGGAGGACAAAGATTGAACTATATAATAAATAAAATCATTATAATAAAATTAGAATCAAATCCAAGTATTTTTGTTAGTTAGATAGTTTTATTTACTTTGGATTTGTTTAGTTATAATATAGGAGTTTCAAAGTATTAGGCCTTTATTTTTTTGATATTATACTTTGAAATGATTTTTGGTTGATTCATTGGTTAAATAAAAATAAACTCTTTCATTTACTTCATGATACTATTACATTGCAGCCAGCAGATTTCTCTCAACCATAATTAATTAGTATGCTGAGTCTTGAAGTGCAGTATGATGGTTGGACTACAGTAGCACTCACAACTTCTGTTACATGTACTTAAAAATTGTCGCTATTTTATTGAAATTTATAATAAATTAATTACAATAAAACAGCACAATATGACAGTATAGATTAATAGTGTATTTTATGTTGCGTGAGATGTGTCAGTTGTCATAATAATCTGTCCATGCTCAGCTCCTAACTTCAAAATTTCATGACTAACTTGAGACAGACTAACCAGTGGCCTATACAATGCACTGTTTCGAGTGACATGAACATATAGGCTACAATATTACCTTAATTTCCCTTCTTCTAGTTTAGCGACAGCACCAGCTAGAATCCCTATTCATTGGAGATTTGAGTCAAAGGAGTTAATATTTAGTAAATTGTAAAACAATGATTCATGCTTTAGCTACTACTAGTTTACTAATATTATTATTACGTAACATGGAGCTAGGAGGATACGTATTAGAGAGACTCCAGACTGGTTCAAACATAAAGTGAATACTACATCCTTAATAAACTTTATCTTGAGCATCAAGCTACAAAGAACAATGATACAATGACACTATAAAAGTACCTTAGACATACTATCTTGTCATAGATGAGTTATTAATACGTGTACATTATTCTACTATTATAGAACTTAGCAAAAGCACTGCCCTTTTAGCTCACAGTACTCTATTACACATACTTGTGATTCAGGGAATGATGTAATCCATTTGGCTTTGAGCATGTTTATTTTTAGCCACTTCCTGGGGAGGTCGTGGGTGGAAGTAGATTTGGTCTTGCATTCATTTTGCACAAGTGTCTCAGTTGATCTTTAACTAACTGTGACATCAAGCCATAATCAACCAATGAATAGCCTGGATGAAGTAGAAGAGAGAGAAGAGAAAAGAATGAGGCAGAAAATGGAAGGAGAGAAGAACTAACATTTATCATTTATGTATTAATTATTTATTGAGCAGCTTATAAAAGATTTTAATCTATAAGATTTAATACCATCAAGAGTGATACCATATAAGTGGTTTTTTCGAAGGTTGCAAATTTCACGAATTTTGCGGATTCCTTCCTGATTCGCGAAAATAAAATCCACAAAAATCTATTTAATACAGTACCCACATGGCACATGTGGTAGAATTTGCAAAATTAAAATCTGCAAATTTGAATTTCAGTAGATTTTGCAAAATATAATTGCCTCAAAAAACCACTTATATGGTACCAAGATGATGGTACTTATGTCTTACTGTAAATGTGCAGTAGTGCACGTATCTAAATCTAGTATTAGACAATAAAATAGCTATAACTTAATATTTATATAGATTTTTGTTTTTTGTGGGTTAGTGCTACAACTGGCATGATTTAGATAGTTGGCAATTGGCATGCTCTTCTATGCTCATGGCTACTACACTGGCAGTAAATCCACCTTAACATTTCTATAAACAAGCAGAGTAACATTATCATCAAATATTCCTCTGCCATTGCACAGGAATATTTTAAACTGGTGTCTATTAGTGATGTTCTTAGTAAATGAGTAACTGAAGATGAAACAGATGGAGTGAATAAAATAAATAACAACAGACAACATGAAATAATTATTGTAGAAAACATCCAAACAGTATAATACAAAATAGTTATTATTACTACTCGCACTATTCATAACCTGTCTCAACTGAAAGTGAAACTAGCAGTAAAGTTGAGAAAAACTTTCTATTTTACAAAACATTAGATATAGTTCATGCATACAAAAATTTAGTAGTTATGATGACTTTAAAAATATTGAGCAACAAGTACTAATGCATAAACCTTATAGTTACAATAAGTGTAATGTATATTTATAAAGCTCAAGTAATTACTTCTGGATACCTATCACAACAAATTTTAACATTAAATGAAAAAAAATCATTATCACAATTATGGTGCTATAAGATTTATAACAGAAATTGAAACAAGTAAATAAAGCTGAGACAAATTTTTAATATACCATTAAAAACATTTTAACATGCTATATAGGCGAGATAAAGGTGGGAATTATACTGGATTTTAGTAACTATTGTGATGTCAGTTATAGCTATTAGTTATATCATATCTAATAAAATGAAACCGGCCCGGTATATCATGTACCGTTATTATCATGAGCAGTTTGTGCAATTATTAGTAATGAGATATCAATTTTTATTACAACTGGTAATATCTAGAAGGTACCACTACTAAACCAGACAAAGTTATGTGTACAATATTAGTAGTTATTGTGATATCAAAATGAGATAATGTACCAGTTAGACAATACCGTATAGCGCTTTAATTTGGCGGAGTTTTATTTTGGCGATTGGCAGTTTGCAAGCAGAATCACCAATATTGAAACTGCCAATCATTAATGCACATGCCCAGTAATGCACGTGTACACAAAAAATCACCAAATTACAAACTGCCCATTACAATTTTACAGCAAAATTGCCAAAATAAAGTGCTATATGGTATCCATATTGCCCACCCTTTAGGCCAGACTGCTGTTAAGTGAGAAAAACTGTACCTCTAACTACAATGACAAGATCGAGTAATAAAAAATGTAACTAGTAGCAAGTGTAGAACTAGATAACCAGAGAGCAAAGATCATTTGATGGTGACCTTATAGCAAAGGTCAATGGGAAGCAACCATGAGCAGCATTGGCCAATCATTCCAACTGAGGTATAAACCCAGCACTAGGCTATGGCTATGGTTAGCTGGGTTACAACATGTACATGTACATGTATCTATGAAAACACACACGCTCACAGAATGACTACTGTAACCTTGCCTATACATTTACACATAATAATGCTAACCTTCACCAATACAGTACATGTATATCTGGTTTGTTTTAAATCAGCCAAACTATTATACTTTTAGTTTTCAGCTCCTAAACAAAAAACATACAAAAAACAATGGGCATATCCTTCAAAAAAAACTGAAATAATGTAGTTGTATTTTTCACAAATAATAAAATTTTGGCCCTAAAACAGAAACAATAAAAGGATTTCATCATTCCAGTAAATGTGTCAATGTTACACAGGAATCAATGGAATAGTGCCAATGGCATACATGTACATGTACAATGTAGCTAATAGACTACCCCAAGCGGCCAAAGATTATATGCTAGTGAGTCTATTGAATGCGACAAGATAAAAAGGAGGCTTATTGGAGTTGTGTTCTGTGAGACAGCAGTCTCAGAATCCATTTAATTGAACTTGACAAAGACAACAGGCCAATTTATTTACCTTAAGGAGACAATTGTTAGCGGGTATTTAATTTAGCGATTTTAAAAAAATCACTAACCTAAGTCAGCGCTAACTTTAATTTCTGATTAAATTATTAATAGTAATATTAAAATGACCAAAACGCTAAATTAAATACCAGCCAAATGTCAGTATAGTGAAAATCACTAAAATAAGTACATGCTAATTATTGTCTCCTTAAGGTACATCTGAAATCATTTTGTTAAATTCTATTAAGCCTGTCTTCTTTCATTACCCTCCAGTCCTACACCACTAAATGGTGCTATAAATATGCCATAAAATAATAAATAATATTAATACCATAAATATGTTGCATGATTACACACTGCATATACCTGCATACAGTGTTCCATTTCTACAAATACACCTACATGTATACATACATGTACATGTAGACTGACCTACATAAGGACTCCTGTTCTCTTTCTCTTTTTACTCAGGAAAGTAACAACACTCTTTAATATCAAAAGACCCAATGAGCAGTCAAGCACTGGAATATAGCCAAGAGTAATAGTTCCTACACGTATGTCTTAGCTTCTTCAATCGTTACACGTTATAGCCAATCTAATATACAAAATATGGACAGAGTATTTAATTTCTGTAAATAACATACCCATCACATGACTCACCTCTAACTATGATGTGCATAAAGATTTCAATAGCTTGCCCCATCAGTCATTTAATTAACTCTGGACAACTTCATCGCCGATTCAATTAGTTTGTTGGAAGAAGTTCATGAATGGTTGGGAAGGGACCAGCTAGTATAATGTACTTCACTATTACAATCACAAAGTATCGGTACCTGATAATATAAAACTCACTTCCATTTATGCTATAAATATGTAATGACAATGGCTAAAGTCTTGATACAACATTTTTTATAATGTAACTGGTACTTCTCCCATATCAACCTATTCAATGTACGTCATGTTTGACTCCACCCACAACCATACCCACCCGCACAAGAAAGTGATTTCACTCATAATCCACCCACCTGTCATGATCTAGTAAAACTCTGCTGTATTCCAGTAATATCATTAAATCTTGTGCAGGTTTGACTGAGGAGACTCTCTATAGAAAGAAGAGTACATACAGTAATGTTTATTACATGTAAGTACATGTACCTCTGATCTTTGAAAACAGTAGTTTGTGCGATACCATCACATACAAATGTAAAGATCTGACTTAATTTGCATCACTACATGTAATTCCTAATAATACAATGACAAAAAATAATTGTAATGAATTACTTTTAAAATGCCAATATTTTTGTTTAGGAGTACACAAACAATTATATAAGCTTCTTGAATCTTGACGTGGCAAATCTGGAAATGAAACTAAAGAAGATGAGAGAACAAAATATTTTTATGAAGATGCACATTCAGATTATGCACATAAAATGCTATTGACGCCATACATGTATCTGCAGTAGCAGCCAGTCAGCCACTTTCCTGCTATAAAAATTAGTTTGCTTCATTTGGCTTGTTATAAAAATAGGTGTGGCAGGTTATAAACCAACTGTTCTGCTTAATAAAATTTTAGCGAAAAATCAGTAAAGGTAAAAAGCATTTTACATTGCTACAGCATTTCATGACAATTTCTGATAAAATTAATGTCCATCAAAAGTAAAAGCCAATTTAAACGAAATATTTTTAATTTATGAGTACACTATACATGCATACATGAACGTGTACATGTACCATGGGTTACGGCATGGGCTCCTGGTTACGGTTAGAACTGGGGTCAATTAAGAAACCTCAATCAAAATTACACTCCTTTTGTAAAAATAGACTCAATTAGAATTACAATTACCAGTATGCCATTTTGATATGTTTGTGCATGAAACAGAAATATGGCTTGCTTTCAAAAATGGCAGTTCAGCTGTCATAGAAGCAATAACAAATTGTCAACAGGGTTTCCCACAACTATGCTAAGTGAATGCCAAACACTATACTTCCATTTACATGTACAAGTGTAAGTAATGTTTGAGCTGATTTTTAACTATAACTTTTCAAATTACAGTCATTTTTAAAAAAACAAGCCATTTTCGTTCTTTCTGCAAAGCAAAAAGTACAACACTAAATAATTAGCGGAATTAGAGCATTAAAAAATTTGCTAATAGTTATCATTATTATAATTATTGGAGGATGAACGTAAGTCCTTTTCAGTATGGTTACTTGTAGGATGAGATAAAAAACTCAGAGGTAACTTTCCTACATGTACAAGTAATAGGCAACCTAACCATTGAATAAAATACTTTGCCCAAGTGACAGAAGCTTCTACTCTACTAGCTATTTTAGTGATGGGGAATATATCAACTTTTATCCATACATAATTTTTAAAGATATCGTTTTGGAATCATTATCAAAATTTTGATAAAAACTTCAACCACATTCATTTATTACATAAAATAGCTAATTTTTTAGTGCTAAAAAGAAGCAACTGACAGCTCAACATTAGCTTTAAAAAATCATACCTAAGAACATTTTAAAGGTTGAACTTTCTTGCCATGTACTACAATTATATCTTTGCCCAATCCAAAGCCCAACTCTTGTCTTAACAAACAACAAAATGAAGGTGTGGTTATAGTATTGTTAATAACAAAGGTTTAAACTTTTGCAGACATGCCTATAAATTTAATTTTTGTGAAACAATTCTGCCATCTTATATTGTATCATCTAGATTTTCATAGATTTTAATTTCACAAATCTCAATAAAACTGCAAAAGCTATGTCCCTTGAGAGTTTCTGAATATACAGTAACCAATATTTTCATCTTAAAATACATCATCGATTGTTGAAAAATTTGTTGCAATGTTGCCAATCACTAAGCTATGACTCACTGACCATACCCACTGCACTATTGAACTACCCAGCCCCCCCTGGGTGTTCTCAATCATGGTCATCTGGCCTGAGCTAGCTTAGCCTAGCAAGCCTGATCCACCCCACAGAGTCTCAACTTACTTAAAGTGAGCCTAGCTCATTCAACCAAGTAATAGGATCAATTCTGAAATCCGTACCTCGAGATTAACTTCATTACCTCGTTCTTGAATGTCAAGCTTTGATGAATGCTAGCCCCACCCGTCACAGGTGTGGCTTTTGTTGTGAGAGCGTAGTAGATCTAGTCTAGATCAGATCTATGATAGTGAGAGCTAGAGCGAGAGAAAGTATTAAACGGTAGCTTGCAAAATGTCACGACTTCAAGGTCAGGATTTTGGTCAAAGGATACCTCCACTCTATGAAATGATTAGAAATATATTGAGAGAATATCCCAGTGGTCAAATCTTTAAGGTCAGTGAATTCACTGAATTGACTACTAGTTGTATGCATGATTACTATCCATACTGAGACGGAATTGCCTGAGTGGAAACAGTTAAACCTTTCCTTAATCTTTAGCAAAGCGACTTAGCAAGACGACTTGCATAAATCTTGCTGACAATATAAAGAGTACCTAATCTGTGTCACAAAAATTCAAATAATGCTGGATAAAATGATATCTAATAAGTATATCCTGTTCAGTATTTTATTGACCATAATTGTTTACTATAATGTAAAGGATATGTAGGTACATGTACTGTACATTATATATCTCAATAGTATGTAGTGAATGAGTCTATTATAAAAGGTATTATAGCAAGAGTACACAGTATTACTCTTGATTAAGTGTATGAAATAGTAATCAGCAGATAATGTAATCAGTGTAAGAGGCTAAGAGCGCACCTGTTACACCTCACCTATGTATACAGACATAATTCACGCCCTTTTCTTTTGTTTAACTTTGACCACAATATGCTTTCACAGTAATCATTGACTGTATTACAGTTACAGGTACCAAAGTGGTTGTTCTGTGTGTGTGTGTGTGTGTGTGTGTGTGTTTGTTTGTTTGCTCATGTATGTAATCATTGTTTCACCTTTTTTTGCTATTTTTCTCTTCTTGTCTAACTTTCACTTGTACCCATTCATGTACACATTTAGGAAATTATACAAAATGCTGATGATGCCCGTGCCACAGAAGTCAAGTTTTATTTAGATTGCCGTGTATTACAAACACTTTCACCATTACTATTATCAGACTTTTCTCATGGGAATAGATCAAATCTGGAGGTACTATTAAAACAATTCACTGGACCTGCACTCCTCTCCTATAACAATGCTCCTTTCACGAAAGAAGACTGGGAGAGCATACAGAGTCTTCAGCGAAGTGGTAAAGCCAAGAATCCACACAAAATTGGAAAGTTTGGAATTGGATTTAATTCTGTGTATCATATTACTGGTAAGAAAACAAGATGATATTCATGATTTAAGGGTCACTCGTGAATAATCAATTCATTTGTATTTATAGACCTCCCAGTTATTCTCAGTGAAAATTACTGTGGATTCCTAGAGCCACAAGAATCAGTTTGGAAAGGATATTCAGGTAAAGGATATTATCTGGAGAATCTTATTGATGAATGTCCTGAAGTACTGGAACCCTTTGATGGCATTTGCGGTTTCTCTACAAATTCAATGCAGTATAATAATAATACCTTATTTAGATTTCCATTGCGTAAAAATGCATCAAAACTTTCTAGTGAAGTCTATGATATAAAAAAGCTTCACATGTTGCTTGAGCCTTTGAAAAAAGAGGCACAATATTTACTTGTTTTTCTTCGTTCTGTTTGCTCCGTTGAAGTATTCCAAATCACTGAGAGCAATGTTACTGAACCATTATTTAAAGTAAGCGTAAGTGAAGCCGATTTCATTTCACGGTTAGAACAACAACGACAATTTGTTAGTCGAGTTGAATCAGTATTTTCAGGTGAAGAATCACACACTGTTAATCAGTTGATTTGTGATACTTCACATTTTCACATTCACATATTCAATAATGGTAATTTCACATCTGAGCATGAGTTGTTAGTAGTGAATCAGGTGGGCAGTAAAAAAGATAAAATAATGAATCTTGCAGAGAAGCATCATGTACTTCCATGGGTAGGAGCAGCCATTGATTTGAGCACATATTGTTCAGCTGGACGAATCTTTAATGTACTGCCCCTACCTGTAAAGGACCGAGCCCCAATGTGCATTCATGTAAATGGTACATTTGCTGTAAGTAGTAATCGTTGCTCATTGCAATGGAAGTCACAGGAAAGGAAAAGCGATGAAGAGGGAATGTGGAATGAGTTGCTAGTGATGGAATGCCTTCCTTCTTGTTACTTAAAATTGGTTTTTGAGCTTATGATTCGGAATGTTTCTCAAATCACAGTATATAACTGTTGGCCTGACATTGAAAAATTGCGTGGTACTCCTTGGGAATCCTTATTAAAACCTTTCTACACTTCATTATTGAACAGTAACAAGGTAGTTTGTACGCAAACAAATGAGAGCAGGATGTGGATTAGTATTAAAGAAGCTGTTTTTATCACTAATGATGTGCCTATGTCAGTTATAGATGCTATGAAGCTATGTAGCATTAAGCTAGTTGAGCTTAACAGCAGTTGTAATGAAGCGTTGGTCCAGTATTACAATGGAAAAATGAACACCATAAGTCCTGCCTTAGTACGAATGCACTTAAAACGTAATCTGATTTCTTACGACTATGCATCAAAAGAAGCCAAAATCAAAATTCTCAAATATTGCTTACAAGATAACCAGTATAAACATTTAGTTGGGCTTCGGCTTATACCTTTAGCCAATGGATCATTTCAGCTGTTTCAAAAAAAGCCAAGTGTTGACGTTGATTATTGCTATGTTTGCACTTCTGAAAACCCCAGTGCTCTGTTACCTGGTTTAGAAAGCCAATTGATTAATGTATATGATGATGATCATGAATTGCACTCACTACTCTGCTCCATAGCAAGTAGTAGTTATACACAGCTGACTATGCTAAATTGTCAGCAAGTAGCCAATTTAATATCATGGTGCAATACAACCGTATGGTCATATGCACAAATGGCATATTTTTGGCAGTGGCTTAAAAACCAACACTTGGAATATTTTGAAAATAAGCTAATTGTGCCAATAACACTTCCTTCAAGTAATAGTAAAAGTATTGCTAGATTGGCTACTGAAGAAAAAATAGTTTATATTCCTTTATATACTAATATTTCTCAGCCTCTTTTAACTGCGTTGGAAAAATGCCGTATCAAATTTGCTGATGCAAATGTTTTTGATTATTTGCTTCATCCTGAGCTTGCTGCATATCTCAATAAGTTTGATTCTAATATAATACTTGATGTTATTTCTTCTAATAAGCTAGTGAACATTGAGTTTTCTGATCATGAAGCATCTACAATGCAAGACTTTTTTTCCAATATTTTATTTGATAGCAACAGAATAGCAGCATTTTGCAAGTTGCCTCTTTTTAAAGTACTTCACGATGAATCAATTCGATATTCAATTGATGCAATTGTAACATCTTATGCTAATGATAAAGCTATTGCTACAAATGGTGTTTATCATTTCAGAACTGATCTGCTTCCACGTATACCACGAATCATTGACACTACGTCAGATAATGCATTGAGGCTTTTGAGATGTATGACAAGCCATGTTTACTTTATGACAGAAACAGAGTATCTTTTGAATGTAGCATTTGAGCAGATAAAGAACGGGCAGTTTTCTAAAAGAAATATAGTTCCATTTATGAAAAGTGTTCTTGATAATTTCTACAGTTCAGAATACAAACAAGCCTCTGATAAACTTGTAGCAGGTATGAAAGATTTACCATTTGTCGAGGTTTTATCTTCCACACAGCTTGAAGCCCCTTGTAATCTTTTTGATCCTGATATTTTGATTTTAAAACAACTTTTTCTTGGTGAGTACAAGTTTCCTGCTTCTACCTTTTCATCTCATTTGGAAATTTTGAGACAGTGTGGTTTAAAAGTATCAGTTGACGCTAAAGAAATTTTTCAAATCATCTTATCTATTAGAGTTACTGTACGCAAGCAAAAGAAAATGGCTGCTGTTGATGAAAATAGGTATCTGAGATTGGTAGTAGTTCTGAAATATTTATCAGATAACTCTAGCCTCTTTGATACCAAACTACCGGTAAAAACACATGACACACTATTGACAATATTGAGAAAAGAAGCCGAACATTACTGCTGGCTACCAATAGCAAGCGATCCTCCAAGCCAATATCCTTCCTGTTTAGTGTGGAAAGGATCACAATACCCTTTTCATTTTGCCTCATTTAGTGCTAATCCTCTAATAATATTGCTTTCACAGGATCTTACCACCACAGCAGAGGTAGATTTACATGTACCACATCATTTAATTGTTGGTTCAGAAGCTGTTTTTATTGAGTATTTTCCAAGTCAGCTTGAACATCATTTTCAGTGCTCCACAAAGAAACTAGTTTCTGCAGTCATCTCTCATTTCAAGCATGTAATTAAAAATAAGGATTCCATACCTAAAGATATGTTGGAGACAATTTCTATCAAAACATATGAGTTTTTACAAAATAATATTCAATATTGTAATGTGGCACAACTGTGCTCAAGTAAATGGTTATGGGTTGAAAATTTATCAGTATTCATTGATTCACACCAAGCAGCTATGGCAACTAATCCTTCATTTTTATTGAGTTTAGAACCTTTTATTTTTGTTTTATCTTCAAATTTAAGAGCATTTTCTGAACTTTTTTTAAAATGTGGTGTACCACCCAATGTAACAACTAAGCAGATTGTCTCTGCTCTTCGATCTGTTAGGGACAGGGACAGTTCTCAGCTCAAAGAAGATACAGCATGGTCAATTGTTCGAACTGTATTGGACTGGATAGCAGATAACACTGATACAAATAGTAAAAATGATATTCTAGTAGCAGTTGAAAGTGATTTATCATATCCTCAGTTAATCCCTATTGATGATGTAGCATACACAGATAATGAAATGTTACGTGGCATTGCACGGACGTCAGATGAAGAGTATCATCTTATACATCCTAAAGTGTCCCACCTGTCTTCCAAACTTGGCCTTTCCCCACTTAGTGACCAGCTTGATATTACTGAAGATGTCTTTGAAGATGCTGGTCAACACGAACCACTAACAACACGACTTAGCAATATATTGAGAGAATATAAAGATGGCTTAACTATCATAAAAGAGATGATGCAAAATGCTGATGATGCTGGAGCCACTGAAGTTAATATTTTACATGATATGCGCACTCATTCAAGCCGCAATCTAGTGTTAGAAGGAATGGCAGAGAGCCATGGGCCAGCATTGATAGTTCACAATAACAGCACATTCACCAAGGAGGACTTTGAAAACATCACTAAACTTGCTGCTGCTACCAAAGCTAACCAATCACTTAAGATTGGAAAATTTGGAGTTGGATTTTGTTCTGTGTACCACATCACTGATGTACCTTCTTTTGTTAGTGGAGATTGGCTCTATATATTTGATCCTACATTGAAACATTTAAAAGGTGTAGTGCAAAATGAAAACAGGCCTGGCAAGAAAATAAATTTTAAATCAAAATTCCTTGCCAAATCACATCAATTAGCTCCATACCAGGATTTATTTGGTTTTGACCCTTCATCAACTTACAATGGTACAATATTTAGGCTGCCTTTCAGAACACATCCCAGTCAAATTTGTCCCACAATCTACAATGATCATCTCATTCAAATGATTAAAAATGATTTAGAGTCAAATGGTTCTAAATTATTACTGTTCTTGCAAAATGTTAAGCGTATTACATTTAGCTCACAACAAGAAGGTAGCCAAGTTGTTGAGCAGCTGTCCATTGAGTGCAGTAAAGATGACATTAAAAATGTCAAAAAGTGTATTACAAAATCTAACACTACAATTATAGAGTATTGGTTACTATCAAATCAAAAGCAACAGTTGAAATCACAGGAAGGAATTTGTAAGCCAGCAGTTGCATCTGTAGCTTGCAAGTTAGTTAAGGAACAATCTTTGTTTTTGCCTGAAGCACTTGAAGGGAATGCATTTTGTTTTTTACCATTATCAATTCCTGATACTGGCTTACCTGTGCATGTTAATGCTAACTTTGCTGTTATGAATAACAGAAGTGGCATATGGACAGGAGTATCGTCTGCAATAGCATCAGAAGAAAGGGAATACTGGAATAAACAATTAATGACAAGTGCAATACCTCAAGCATATTGTAATTTGTTAAAAAATTTGCAAGCAATGCACTGCTCAGGAAGACTTACTTCTTATGAGTTTCACATGCTGTGGCCACTGGCTTCAAACCTTCAGATGAGATTTTTATGGGAAAGTTTAGTATCTTCATTATATCATTTGATATCACAAGAAAAATTATTTTTCTCATCTTCTATTTGTCAATGGTTAAATATAGCCCAGGCTTGTTTTCTTCCCTCAACATTATTTAAAGTTACATGTATTGATTCTGTTGAAATCATTGAAGCAGTTAAAATAATGAAGTTGCCAGTAGTGCTTTTACCTTTTTCTCATACTTGCCAACTACAACAATTTGTATCTATTAATATATTAACTGAAGACAAATTTGCAGAATTATTTTTACAACAATTAGATTCCTTTTCCAATAGCACTAAGACCAGGAATAAAATTCTTTTAATGATGCTATTAGCTATTGGTTTGGCAAGCAGCTCTAAAGAGCAAAACGTATTAAAAAGTCTACTTGAAAAGCACCCCTGTATACCTACTTCTCCTAAGGGAATTCAATTAAAAAGAGCATCAGAACTTGTTGATCCATATGAATTTCGTGACATGTTTGATCCTGAAGACGCCATGTTTCCTGAAGACACTCTCTACCAATCTGCTGTAGTAAAGGAAGGAATTTTTAGACTTGGCCTAATGTCACCTTACAATGTATGTTGGGATGTAATTATCAGTAGTGCCAAGACAGTGCAGTCATTATTTGTTAAAGATAAAATGAAAGCATTAACAAGAGTTGAAGTTATCATTGGTTGCATTGAAGAAAAGGCAGAACATGCTCGTCGAAAACAAGAGCAGATTGATCCAGCACTTTCTGAGCTATGTCAAACTCACTTTCTACCTGTCCTTCCTAAACCCGAAAATTATTTTTTACCATGGAAAGGTGAAGGTCATATTTTATTGCCACCTTGTCAAGTCATATCAGTTGATAGTCACAGCTTAAGAAAAGCCAGTGTATTACTAGGATCTCAAAGAGCAATAGTTAATACAATGGTATTTGGTTTAGGAGGATGCAATTCCATTGCTCATCGGGCATTAAAAGTAATGAATATTTCATCACAAGCTTCATTTGATGATGTACATAACCACTTTTTCACATTGATTGATGCATTTAATGCATCAATGTTAAATGATCATGAAGCAATACAATTAATTGAAGAAATTTGTCAAAGTGTTTATGAGCATTTTGAAGCCTTCTTGAAAGAGTCACCTGCAATGTCAAAAGTATATGAACAGCAGGATCAAGTTCATAATCAACATCAAAAAACTTTGGCCCAATATTGGAACAAACCATTCATATGGACTGGGAGAGGCTTTGTTTGTCCTTGTGATGTATCAATTAATTGGAAACAACAGGTGGGTCCATATTTATATAAACTTCCTGGCATGTTATCACAGAAAAAAAATTTAATAAATTGTTTACAAGTAAAGGAGAGCTTTAATGTTGAAAAACTACTGGAAACATTCTCTCAAATGTATTCAGATTTTAGTTCTACACACAAACTTCCACAAGATTACCATGAAACTGCTAAATTCATTATCCAAGAGTTAAATGCAAGAGATGTTCAGGAATTATCTCCCATGAAAGAAAAAGCTATTCTTGTTGATGCTGATTATATTCTTAGACCAGCAAGCCAATTAGTTTTCAATGATGCTGCATGGTTGCCTTCTGATAATGTTAGTAACTATGTTATATCACTTTTCAACAGAGAAGTAGCACTTGCACTTGGAGTGCAGCCAAGGAGCAGTAAATTTCTTGATGAATACACTTCTGCTGTGCAAAGCTTTAGTGGAGTACCATTTGGTCAACGTGAAGATCTTACCCTAAGAATTAAAAATATTCTTCGAGATTATCCACTTGATGTTACTTTCCTCAAAGAGCTCCTACAAAATGCTGACGATGCCAAGGCTAGTAAAATGTATGTAATACTTGATAAGAGAGAACACAGGAAGGAGAGATTACCATCAAAGAATTGGTCAGAACTACAAGGACCTGCATTACTTGTATGGAATGATAAAGAGTTCACTGAAAAAGATTTAGAAGGAATTCAAAAACTTGGCCTTGGTTCAAAGCGTGATGATGAAGAGTCTATTGGTCAGTTTGGCATTGGTTTTAATGTGGTCTATCATGTAACAGATTGTCCTAGTTTCATAACAAGGGGAGACACACTGTGTGTGTTTGATCCACACTGTAGATATGTTCATGGAGCTGATAAACTTTGCCCTGGAAGACGGTACAATGTTGATGATAGCTTTTGGGACAATATGTCTGATCTTCATTCTTGCTTTCTTCAAGATGAGTTTCAAAATAAACCACAAGGCTTAGATAAAGGTGTCCTTTTTCGTTTTCCTCTTCGTTGTACTATGGCACAGGTAATGAATTCAGAGTTAGTGCTTAATACTGTTAAAACAAAACCATTGACTGCTGATATAATGGAAAATCATCTCAGATCATGGGTAAAGACAATGAAAGACGCTCTTCTTTTCCTCAATCATATAATCCAGTTTGAATATTATGTCATTGAAAGTTCTGGTTCATTAAAATGTGAGACAAGCTATGTAGTTCATATGGAAGATGATATCCATGAGATGCGATCTAGTCTGAAGGAACGATTTGCTACTTTTAGACATGCTAAAAAACCGTTTCTTGTTCCTTATCCTTTGACACTTGAAACGAAATTAATAAAGTCTTCTACACAAGAGCAATGGTTGATACAGCAAGGAGTTGGAGATGTACAAGATTCTGACAATAAACATTGGGAATATTTAAACAAAGCTCTACCTAAACATGGCATTGCAGCTACTTTCAAAAGAACTGAGAATTTCAATGGAAAAGTTTTCTGCTTTCTGCCACTACCAGTCTTGACTGAACTACCAGTTCATATTAATGGCCAATTTGTGCTCAATAGCAATAGACGCTCTCTTTGGATAAGTACAACAGAGGAACCTGATACCAGAACAAATTGGAATTTCAATTTAATTAAAGCAATTGCTTCTTCTTATGTACATTTTCTTGAAAGTGCTAAGCCTCACTATGTGAAAAGTGATGGCTATTGCACTCTTGCTGAATTATTAAATGCTATAAACAGTTATTATAGTCTTTTTCCTTTTTTTGATCCACCATTTACACCATATCAGAGTAGTCAGAATACTGCAATATCAAGAGTTACAAAAAAGAAAAATTGGGAAGGTATTTGTCACAAAATATTTCAGTTGATGTGGACTACAAACTTACAATTATTAGCTAGAGAACTGGAAAAGGATGAATATTCTTCGAAAGAATCTCAAATGTGGGTTGCCCAATGGCATAGCTTTAGAAGTGATACTCCTCAAAATCAAGCATATTTTGCATCTCCAGGAGCAACCAAAGAAGTGAAGCAAGTACTGAAGCAGCTAGGCATGATTCTAACATGTGCCCCACCTGCTCTATATTCACACTTAGATGTACTATCAGAAGAAACAAAACCAGCTATTCTATCAAGGGAGTCTGTTTATGAATATTATAGTAAATTCCATCCTCAGATTATCTGCCAATGTCCCTGTTCAATAGATCAATCACCTTTTCAAACAATAGATTTGTTTTGTTTGTTTTTAAACTATTTACTAAGTCCTAGTTTAAAAGGGCGGGAAGTTCAATATGAGTTCCCTAGCTTTCCTGTTGGCATTCCACTTCTTCTTACAGCTGATTCACAGTTACAGATGGTTTCAAATCCTCCAAAAATTTTGTGTAGCAAGTATGCACATCTCTTTAAAAAATGTTCTTCGCTTTTTTTGCATGAAACAATCATTGATGCTGTTGAAAATAAGCTATCATCATCTTATTTTATCACAATTTTGTCTGTTCATGTGCTCGAAACAATGATGATCAGCAACTTTTCTTCATCCCTTAAAACTCTGGTAGCAGATAATTCTAACAATTCTATTATTGCTAAGGAAACATTGAAGGAATTGTGGCTGTGTTTCAAGAATGATCTAATATTTTTTCAGCACAGGCAATATATTGTTGAAAATTGGGCAATTATTCCTTCGGTATCTGGTAAACTTTACTCTGCTAGTTCCCCAGTTTTACCTTTACTTACACCAACTGACTCCATGTATATGAGTGTATTTCATGAACTGGCTAATTTACATGTTCCACTGTTTGACTCAGCTGATTATGCAGAATGCTTAGCTAAAGACTACTGTGTTGATATTTCAAATGTTTCCATAGTCCTATCTATTCTGTTTCATCATCATACTAAAGCAAAAGTTTTATTGAATTTAAAAACTCCACGGAATACTATTAAGTGTTTATTTCAATACTTTGGTAGAATAAGCTTTATTTATGATAGTAATAGCCTTTCTTATATTCGAAACCTTCCTCTTTTTGAAACCATAAATGGAGACATGACAAGTCTTAGTAATAAAAGAGTCTTTTGTTGGCCTGCAGAAGCTTGCAAAGCTGGATATAGTAAGTGGGTGTCTTTTGAGAGTGTTGTATTCCTACCTATTAATGGAGATTGGACAAGCCTTTGTAATAATAACATTGCAATATTAGGTGGTCAATATCTTACTGAAAGGGACCTTTATATTCGTTTTATTTTTCCACTGTTTTCAAATTTGACATCAAATGAGAGAATGGAACATCTCAGACACATTAAAGACACTTTGTTTCCTGACCTTCATCATGAAAGTCAACTTATAAAAGATAATAGAAGTGCTCCAGCAAAAAAATTTGTCGATAAATTAAAGAATCTACCTTGTCTTGAAACAATTCATGGTCACCTTCGAACAATCGAAAAATTTTCTATTCACAACTTGCCTATATTTACAACATTTCCGCAGCATTTCTACTTTGTTCCTGAGGAATGCCAAAAAATTGATTGGCTGGAATTTTTAAAAGCCCTTGGCCTTAGAGTAACTATCACAAGAGAAGAATTTAAAACTTTCGCTAAAATTGTTTCTACTGGAAAACACAAAGATGCTTCAAAGGCATCTAGTGTACTAGTGGAGTATTTATTTTCTGACTCAGGAAAAGAATGGCATACGGACAAGCAATTTTTGTCAGAAATTGCTTGCATTGCATTTGTCAAAGTTAATACTCTTAGCAATTTTAAATGCATAAAAGAGTCATGTCAACCTCCATTGTACCTAGAAGAACAAAAGCTGGGGCTAACAATGCTTAATGAATCTGTGATATACGACAGTGTCTCATTGATCTGGACTGTAAAGCCAGTAGTGAATCTACCTGTACCATCATATATGTACACACAGTCAGGCACATCTCAACAATATGATGAACTATTGAAATATTTGGGTGTTACACTTAAACCAGATATTAAAGATGTTTATAAAAATCTAATGAATGTGACACAAATGGCACTTGATACATTTCATGAGTATAATTTAGCGTATGATGATGATGCAAAAGGCACTAACGAAGTAAGCATTGAAACCATAATTAAACAATGTTTTGATTATTTATTTGAACATGATGCACATGAGTATCTTCAAAATCTCTGTACTGTTCCTTGTATTCCAATGTCAGATTTAGCTGTTCATCAGCCGGTGCTTGTAAAACCAATTCAAGTAGTGAGACACATACCTGATGACTGCTCCCATTTTTTCTCTTACCTTCACAAAGTACCTGAATTCTTGGTTGGATGTCAATACCTCAAACTATTAGGTATAACTGACAATATTGAAATCACTACTCTTCGGTATCTTCTTGAAACAATGCATGAGCAATTTTGCAACAGTAAACTTGACCAATATCATGCAAATACTGTCAGAGAAGCAGTCATTAAAATGCATAGCTTGCTAAAAAATGAATTACATTCACGAGGTACCGTCCAGAATATTTCACCACTCTATTATCCTAACAGCAAAGGATTCCTAGTTGACTCAACAACCCTTGTATTTGTTGATTCCAGTCGCTATCAAACAGACAAATACAATTTTTCTGAGTTGCCTCTTTCCTTATTTCAATTGCCATCTCGAGTAACACATTCAGCAACTAAAGCTATTTTCTCCAGTGATGATTCCAGTGTGCCATGTGATATTTTATGTTTGAAACTACCAAAAAATGTTAGGCCAAATGGCCTCTCTCTTATCTGCAGGGAAGAATTGGCTGACTATAATGTATCAAGAGAAAGTAATTCACCTCTTCAGCTGCATTTTTTAAAACTAAAATCCATTGCTCCAGTTTTGGAAGAATTAATGCCCAAAATAATAAGGCACCATTCTCTGCACATAAATGAATCAATTGCAAAAAAATTCTCAAAAACATTAGTAGAATGTTTTATTAATAATGTGAAGTTAGTAATCATTAATAACCTGAAAAGTAAGGTTCTTATTGATAATAAACCAATCACAACTATCACAGTTAAATATTTGTTTCAAAGAAATGATGCTTGTGATGAGTATATTCTGTATGTGGATAGAAATGCAACCACAAGTTCTACAGTTTTAAAAGAAATTACACACACTCTCTGTGTTGAAATAGCACAACTGCATGATGTTGAATTGACTTCATATATAAAATTTAATGATCCTGTTTGTGAATGTCTTGCAGCTCAAGGTATTAAAGATTTAAAACCAACTTTAGAGATACTGCAGATTGAAACTCAAAAAATTCAGATGATTCTTCCCATTGAAAACAATGTTGCAACTCTTGGAGGGGAAATACAAAATGATTTTGTCATTGAACTTTTGCAAAATGACATAACCAATGATATTTTTTATCCGGAGGAATGGGTTGGATATGAGAATGGATATGACAATTTTATCTATGCAATTGTTGTTTATGCAGTTGTACAAGAAAAAGTTACTGACAACCCCCTAAAGAGAACATATATGATTACAACTGATGATGAAGGTCATTTAAAAGAAGTATCAACCCTTGACCTTTATAAACTAATGAAAGTAGGTGAACACTCTGCTTCTGCTCAAGTTAGAAGACTCGAAGACACTTATAGTCTGTTAGAATTGAAAAGAGCAATCATTGAAGTCTTGACTTTAATTTGGATGCTAGGAAACGAAGATGAGAAACGAAAAGCGGTAAAGCAACTTTACTGGAAGTACCATCCTGAAAAAAGAAAAAACAATCCAAGTGAAGCCACCATGTATGAAAATGCATTTAGTTTCTTAAAACAGCAAATTGAAAATTTAGAAAATGGAAAATCATTGGGAGACCCAGATGCACCATTGCCATTATCATCAGAGTTTTCATCACAAACTTCATGTTGGTCAAGATGTTTTGATGAATGGGATGAGGATTTGAGGAATAGATGGCAAAGAAGTAGACATGAAAGAGAAAATTTATTCCCAATTGAAACCCTAAACTTTACACATGATATTTCACAACCAATAGCAGATCCAATAAAAGCTGGACATTGGTTAAAGCAGGCAGAATCTGATTTAGAAGCTATGCTTTATCTAAACGAGTGTAAAGGAATGCAATGTCAAGTATTATTTCAGGGTCATGAGACTTGTGAAAAAGCTCTGAAAGCAGGCATGTATAAACTAGTAGGATTAAATCCTGCCAATCTTAAGACTCATGAGCTGCATGATCATGCTCATGCTATTGCTGGAATAAAAGGTGGTGTTTGGGCAGAGCTGCCACAATTAGTGTCTTCAATGGAGCAATATTATCTCAAAACACGCTATCCCAATCAACACAATCCCTCGGTGGCTCCAGTTGACATTTATTGTTGTGATACAAGGGACAATGAGGTACAAAGTTTAGTCAATAGTGCTTGGAAGCTAGTGGCATTGATACAAAAGCTATTTTAATTATTGTTTGTTGTTTAATATTTTTGTAATTTTTAAAATTAATGCCAACTTGGCATAAATACAATAGTAATGGTAATGAAGTGTTACCTTTTAAATGTTACATTATATTACTGCATACCTTATTTTTAGTAAAGATTAATTATTTGACTATTAATAACAGAAAGGATAAAGAAATCTGTGTGGGATTGTTTGGACAATAAATGCGGCTGACTGTCATAAATCTATAAAAATGTACCGTATTTCCTTAAATAGAAGCCGCATTCGAATAAACGCCGGGGTAGCAATACAATTTAACTATAAATATGCAATACTAGCTTAGGAGTGACTCACTAGTCTGGTGGATAATGCCTGCAGTTCCAGAAGTCAAAAGCATGAGGCCACGGGTTCGAATCCCACTCTGTGCCGAAGTTTTTTATATTTTTTTATATATTTTTTGGAGGTCCAAATATCATTTTAGGAAATAGACGCCCGGGCTTTTATTTAAGGAAATACGGTAATTAGATATTGAAGTCTAAGAAACTACCCCTAGAAATAGGAGACAGGGGAGTGATTTAATGCATCTAGATATGTCTACTTTAAGTAAAGAAATCAATGACGCTGAAAGAGTCAATACAACTTGATGTTCCATTGATAGCGGGTTAGCTATTCCATTGGCATCAGTATAGAAAGAAAGGTTATTCAAAGTGGCTCTACCAGCAGGCCTTGGTAAAGCAGCAAGCTATTTGAAGGCTTCCTATATCAAAAGTGATGGAAGTAAAGAGGAGGGTAGGGTTGTTATAGTTAATGATAACAACACAGCCATTGTATCATGAGAATATTAGGCTGGAATTTTTCAGCATAGTGACAACAAGTTTATTTTAAGTAACATTTTTGGTCCATGAAGAAAAAGTATGATAACTGAAGCATTTTTATTCTTGTTGGCTGTGAATTATGTATAAGCACATATCAGAAAGGGTACACATTTTAAGATTTTTGAAGCATTGCTACATTAATTCTTAAAAACATGTATTTTTGAAGAAGAATGATAGCAATCAATAGAAAATAATAATTCAACAATCATTAGGCATCGAAGCATAGCATAATTACAGAAATTGTGAGCATATTCTTAGGCCTAATGCTCACCTAAAAGTATTGGTGGACTGACTATTTGCTGAATGATAGGTTTGTTCAAGTATTTAGTAAGAATGTTACTGCAATAGGAAGGATCAAATTTAAAGGTGATTACACTAGATAATTCAATTAAGTCTCCTCATGGTTTATTGCTGGTGGGAGACAGGTTCTATGTATCGGATCATAATCGTAATCCTGTGCAGCATTTCTCAGCTACTACTAGTCATAGTATTGTTAGTTTGGTAGTAAAGGTAATGGGAAATGACAACTCTAGTATCCTAAAGGTATGCCTGCTAATGGTAAGGATAATAATTATAGTTGTTAGTATCCATGCAAGTATAAAAACAATAGAGTGCTGCTAGTGTGAACTTTGAAGATCTACAATTGTACAAGTCAGATATGCAGTTAAATTATTTATTATGACAATATAGCACTGAATAAGGATGGATATTCTAGTACTTTATACCATGAGTACACTAGCTCGGATGTCGGCTCCTTGATAGTCTGGTGCCGGTGCCAGACTAATACTACGTTTTACCATAGATACTGTGTACACAGTATCTATGGTTTTACAGTACAGAAGTGGGCCAAACCGTGCTGAACCAGACTGCTGTACTGACCATGCTATCCTGGTTTGGCCCAGCTCACTTCAGCTCAGTTTGGCTACTGTATACACTATCAAATGAAACTGTGCTGGCCCACTTTTCGTAGGGCTGGCTCAGTTAAAGAAGCTAGTGTAAACATAGCATATGTGTAGGAATGAAATTTGCATTGGGGGGGGGTAATCCTATACAAATTATCATGCACTCACAATAAAAATGAATGTGTTTTACAGGTGCTAACTAGATACAGGTAGCAAGTTGTAACAGCACAATAGTTAGGATATTTTCAATGTTGCAAAGTTAGCAATGAAGTTAATGCCAGATAGAATTTTTTTAATATTCCCGTAACAAGCCTTGTGTTAAAAATATCCGACCGTTTCCAATCTATGTGTTTGTATATCTATGATGTAATGCATAAAATCAGGGATATAATAGACTAACGTAACCGGGATTGGCAACAGGATCACGTGAGCGCATCATTTGTGTATTTTTGTCATGATAATGTTGTTACTTAATTTATTACATTCTTTAGGCAACTTCTCTTGTTTCTCCAGAGTGTTCTTTAGGAAATATTCAAGAAAAACAACTTTACCATGGTATGACCTTTGCGTACCTCTCAGGAGAATAGACTGCATTCTATTGCTATAAAACTACAATAAAGAGACTCTTTATATGTTTTTACATTGTTTAAAGTTGTTTTTAAATTTTCCTTGTTGCTGGTTTTTAGTTATAACAATTTACATTCAGCCATTGTAAGATGCCATTGATTCATTTGATTGCTGCCATTAATTTTAATGAATAATAACAGAGTCTGATCATAGATATTAGAGTAAATTAAATTTACTCTATTATCTATGGTCTGATAATTAACTTCCGGTCCCGTAACCCATCCCGGTTACTTTCTATGATAAAGGCCAGGGCTGACAATAGATAACCCCGAGACTAAACAATAGACTGCTAAATCTGAGGCTAAATCTCTTAAAAGTGATACTTTAAAATTAATTAGATCTATTTTGATTTCTGTTTCTTTTAGGAAATGGCAGAAAACACGAATTCAACTAGTATGACTTGTGAGGTTTGTTCAGAGTATTACACTGACCCCCTCATGCTTCCCTGTCTTCACTCGTTCTGTAAGAAGTGTCTGATAAAAGCTAAAGAGAAGCAAGGTAGTGCTGATACCTCATTAAAGTGTCCAACGTGTGACACTAGCGTTAATTTACCTGATGGTAAAATTGAAGGCCTCGCTCAAAACCTTTGGTTTGAACATAAATCAAAAGAGGCTTCAATTGAAAAGAAGATTCTTGGTAAAGAAGCGATATCTTGTGATGAATGTAGTGTTGACGATTCCAGTGATGCAGCTGTCGTGTATTGCTGTGATTGTGGCCAGTTTCTGTGTGATTATTGTAAGAAAGGTCACAAACGAAAGCCTAAAAAAAGCAGTCACAAGTTAATTGATCTAGAAACAAAGGAATCCCTTGAATTGTCTCCTATTAAGCATGAGGATGGTTATTGCTTGTGGCATACAGATCAAAAACTGATTTATTACTGTAACGATTGTGAGAAATTAGTTTGCCCTAACTGCCTGCTAATTCAGCACAAGAGTCACAATGTAGTCGATTGCACTGGAGTAGGTGAAACAGCACGTAAAGCATTAAAGGAAAGTGTTACTAGTTGTGATGGAGTCATTCCTTCAGTCACTGAAGCTATTGCTAATGGAGAGAAGATGCTAGAGCAGATAGCAGCACATAAGGAAGAAGTAAGCAAGGAAATCAAGGAAACATTTGAAGAGCTTAAAGCTCTTTTAGATAAGAGATGCCATGAGCTACTAATGGAGACTGAAGAGATTGCTAGTGTTAAGAGGAATTCTGTTGAAAAGCAGTTGGACAGGTTTCGTAAACTGGTAAAACAGGTTTCTTGTGGTTGTCATCTTGCATCATCAGTGAGTGAGCGTACTGATCCAGGTGAAGTTCTCAGTGTTAAGAAGCTAATCACCAATCAACTAGAGGAATGCATTGAAGAGTATAAGAAGCTACCTCTAGAAATAGAAGACAAAGGAGCCATTTCAAGATTTTTAGATGTGCCCACTTTAAGTAAAGAAATTAGTGAGTTTGGAAGTATCTCAGAGTGCTATGTCCAGCTCGATTCATCATTTTATTCCATTGATAGTGGGTTAGCTATTCCGTTGGCAACAGTTAAGAAAGAAAGGAAATTCAAAGTTGCTCTACCGGCAGGCATTAATAAGGCTGCACACTTTTTGAAGGCTTCCTTTATCAAAAGTGATGGGAGTAAAGAGGAGGGTAGAGTTGTCATAGTTCCTGATATCAACACAGCCATTGTATCATTCACACCTCAAAGTATTGGTGGATATGAGCTATCAGTGACTATGAGAGGTCACCATATTATAGGCAGTCCTTATCCACTGTCAGTAAAAGCATCAAGAGACTATACCACACTAACTAACCAGAGAAACTTTGACGTGGGAAATCATACTTACGGTGTTGCTATTCATACTAATGGTGAAGTATTTGCTAGTAGTAATGATGGGTTTGTTCAGGTCTTTAGTAAGGATGGGACTCCAGTACGAAGGATCGGATCTAAGGGTGATGACAATGGACAATTTAAGTCTCCTCATGGTTTATTGCTGGTAGGAGACAGGCTCTATGTGTCTGACCATAATCTTCATCGTGTGCAGTATTTCTCAGCTACTACTGGTCAGTATATTGGTCAGTTTGGTAGTAAAGGTAATGGGAATGGACAACTCTGGTATCCTAAAGGTATGTCTACTGATGGTAAGGGTAATATATTTGTATCTGAGTATAGAAACAAAAGAGTACAAGTGTTTAAGGAGGATGGTGCATTTGTACAAGTCATACAATGCAATGGTAATGTAACTGATGTAGCAGTTGATAATGAAGGGAAGATATATGTTGCCACCTTTAAAAACAATTCTGTTCAAGTCTTTTCTCCTGACGGTAAAACTCATCTTGATACGTACAATAATCTTATTAGCTCTAGTTCTTTGCAAGGAATTGCTATTGATGATGGAAGGCATATTTTGGTATTGACTTACAACACAAATTGTGTCGACTCTTGCCTTTACTTGTTGAATTCTGACGGGAAACAAGTCAAATTGATCTCAGAATTAAATAATCCGTATGGTATAGCACTGGATAAGGATGGATTTATTTATGTTGCTGATACTGACAACAATTGTATAATGAAATATTAACGTAGCTCCAATAATAATAATGTAGCTAAAACAATTATGTATTATTAGAATAGTGTTAAGCATTTTTTTTGTCTTCGCACATGCATGCATACACACAAACAAAACCACATTTATTACGTTATAATATTTAAAATAATTAATTACATTGGTTTTTGAGTGAGTGCATGGTATAGTATAAGATAGTGTTGGTGGTGAATCATTCTCTTGTATTGTATTTACTGTATTCTAATTACTGACTGATAGTATTTACGTGGCCTATGTTGTACATATCTTTCCAGGTTTCAACAGAAGAACTAAAATTTATTTAGATCTATGGAATGATCTATGGAACTTGTAGTGAACTCATGACATCACATCTCATGCATGCATTATTCATAATCAATATTGATCAATACATATTGCATGCCGTGTTTTATAATTGATCAGTGTTTGGGTGTCAACTTGATTGAGGTAAATACGAGCGCTCTATGACAAGCAGCTTATCTGCTTTTTTATAGTTCTATTCCATTAAACTTGCTAAAAACCTTTGCCAACAAAACTGAGAGGGATACACATACCATTTGCTTGTGCATCTAATGTATGTAGACAAGAGTAGATAGTGTAGGGAGAGTATCTCACTGCACTATGCTAGCTGTTGCAACAGCCCTTACTGCATTCAAGTCACAAATCATGGTGCATATTTTACTCTGATCATTTTTACCAATAAAAATGACACTTTCTTAATGCCTGAAACAGCAATACATTATGTAATGTACATAAGTGCATGTACACTATAGATACAAAGCTGATGTCCTCATTTATTGTCTACAATATGAAAAATCTAAATACAAGGACACAAAAATTTAGGCATGCACATTATTTTGGCTTAATGAAAATATAATATTTTAAAGAATAAGGTATTATACATGCTGCAATTTTTTACAAAATTGGAAGTTGGGACCAGTATTGACATTAGTTGTCTTCATAATTGAGGTAATTTGTAGGCTTTTCATAATTGCCATTTGAGTGGTCTTGGGGAATTGTGTAGGCACTATGTAAGATCCTACAAAAAGTGCCCTCAAAAGGTACTTTTGGCTACTTTTCTTAGTGTGTTCTTATCATTTTATAAAGGTTGTACTGTACATAACTGTTGCCTAGCTTGTGAGCAATTAAACAAAAGTTAAACAGCTTATTTAACAATGAATAAATAAGTCACACAAAAATGTCAACTTAGTGTTAATTTTATTGATTGAGCTGGTCTGCTTCACAAGCCAATCTTATTCTCTCAGTGGAGGCTGGACTAAAAAATTCAAAGTATCCAGTAACTCCTTTTTCTTCTCTAGCACTCTTGACAGCATCTCTAATAGCAAAAAACACTGAAGATGCCAGGAACAATGGAGGTTCACCAATAGCCTAGATAATTACAAATAATAATTAATGATTATATTACAACTAACTTTAGATGAGAATATTGCCTTCTTATTAGGACAATTATCCAAAAGTGTAACATTCATCTCAATAGGTATGTCACTACAACCTGGTATTTTATAAGTAGTAGGACTGTCAGTATAAAGACTTCCATCAGACAAATAGCTACACTCCTCCATAGTGAACAAACCCATCCCCTGAACAAACGCACCTTCAATTTGCCCAATGTCTATAGCTGGATTCAAGCTGTCTCCAACATCCATTAATATATCAGTCTGCACCACCTACAAGTACATGAAAAATAAAGTGAAAATATGCCTACTATATCCATGTTGGTAAAGATATTTGGGCTAAAGGGCTTGCCAATATTTGAATAAAAATTATTTCAACATTCATACATGTAGCCATGTACATGTACATTGCACACTAATGCAAGGTTTTCTACAAAGCATGCTAAGTGAGATTACTGAGGTAAAGAGTATGCTTCATAAGCTGGTATTACAATCCACTGACCGCATGAGTATAATGCCAAAATCTTGTGGAAAGCCCTTTGTACATGGAACACAAAAATTCCATACTCAAACCAAGCCGTAAAATAATGAAGGTATAGATTTATATTAACTGTCATAATATATTTAGGCCAAAATTTTTTGTTTGTGATCCTCTAGTTTTGTACTTAAAATGAAACACCCAAATATTATATATTATAAAGTACATTGTAAATGACATTACAAAGCAGTCAGTAACATCAGTATGGTAGCATCATTTTAAAATTACCTTCCAATTTCCAGTCAATATATCAACCTCAACCATTGAAAAACCAACTCCGAAAGAATAATAACAATAGGAAACCTTTTCAGTACCTTCCCAAGCATCAGGTGGATGGTAAAAACCTTGAGCTGAAAGATTAACTCCAGCTGCAAATGCACGATTAATCTAAACACAAAGTAAATTAAAATATTCTTGTATACAAATTTTGATTACATACCCTTTTTTCCCAGTTATCATCATCTTCCTTAAAAGGCTTTAATCGTTCCATTATCTGTTCACATGCATTCTGCAATTCAAAATTATAATTTATTTATAGTGAATGCTGGAAAGTCATATTATGAGCCTAACCTTTATTGCCATTCCATATATATCATTATTAATTGATCCACCAGTTGGGGCAGAGTTTGGAACTTTATCAATATTTGTTTCTGATACATGTATCCTATTAATAGGTATGTCAAGACAACGAGCACAAACTTGAGCCATTTTAGTATGTAACCCCTAAAAGAGATGATTGCATGTAATACAAATAGTGTATGCTATACCTGTCCCATTTCAATTCCCCCATGAGTCACTAGAACAGATCCATCAGTATACACATGAACTAATGCAGTTGCTTGACCAAAGGGTGTAATGCGACTACAGGTTGGAATGACAGATATTCCTCTTTTCTTCCATAAATTAGATCTATAGATATGTATATAAGCAGTACTTTCAACATTTTTAGAATTTACTTGTTAAATATGTCTACTTCTTCCTTTATCTTGTAATAGTTGCATTTCTCAATTAAAGCATTCCAACATCTCTTTAAAGTGCTCCCCTCCATTCTTCTGCCAGAAACTAATTTCTCTCCATCATTTATAAAGTTGATTTCTCTAATCTTAACAGGATCAGATCCAAGCTCATGAGCCACATGAGTCATAATGGACTCCATTATAAGTTGAGCCTGTGGTCTACCGTATGCTCTCATAGCAGTGCATGATGGTATGTTTGTCTTACAGACTCTACCACTGAAGTGAGCGTTTGGTACATTGTATACATTTTGCAAATGTACTAGTGCTGTTTCCATTACCTAAAAGAATTATAGTACGCAATCTTTTTAGTGTTTTTATACTTACAGACTTAGAAAAATCCAGTGTGGAACCACCATTACTGAACAACTGAACATCAAGAGCTATAAGTTTCCCTTCATCATTGAATGCAACCTAAAATAACATATAATGAATTATTTATGCAACCACATATATGTATGTACATGTACTTACACTGTATACTCCCACAAAAGGAGATCTCGACCCAACAAATTGCATGTCTTCCTCTCGATCAAGCATAATCCGCACTGGAACCTGAAACCTACAAGATACACTAACATACACATACATACACAAGTACACTTACTTATTGGCAGCCACAGCAATTGCTGCATAAAGTAGAGAAGGACGAACCAATTTGCCACCAAATCCCCCTCCTATCAACATATAATGGTCAAGTTACATTCAAACTGCAACTGCTTGTGCACATGTACATGTATATTTCAAGCAGAAATTCAACATATATTGAAGTTTGCCCTGACATATATTAATAGGCACTAAATTTTACCAAATCGTGAAGTGTATTAAACCATGAAATTGAATCAATTTTGTAATTAATTGACTATGGACTAATACATGTATATTAAAAAATAGGATTACAAATAAAAGCAATTGCTTTGTATCGGTAAGTTACATGTAGATATATGAATGAAACATAATCGTTGTATGTAAATGACCCAGACCCATCTTTGACACATCTACTTACCAATTCTCTTAGCTCTAGCCACTACTTTATTTGAAGGAATTGCCAAGCATGTTGACAAGCTTTTGTGACATCTGTTAAGAAATTGTGATGAACAAATTAGCTCAATTTCTTTATGCTCTCTCCTTGGTATCACTAAACAGGCACAAGTTTCAAAATAGAAATGCTTTTGGCCACCAATTTTAATAGAGCCTTCAAGTTTATGAAATGAAGACTTTAGACCCTCGCTAATGTTACCAATATTAAATTCATTTGCCGCTCCAAAATAACTATCAGCCTTTCTTGCTTCCTAAATAATGGAAAAATAATAATAAATGAATAATAGATATAATAATCACAATTCTGCCTCCCCTTTGTTTACTTCAATGGTTAGAATTGTTGGTAATTTCTCGTAATCAATTTTGACACTCCTTGCTCCTCTTTGTGCTGTTTCTTTTGTCTTGGCCACAACAATACCAATGATTTGACCAACAGCTGTTACTACACCATCAGCAAAAAAATTGTCATCACCAAATGTATTACTGCCAGGTACATCATCTACTGACACAAAACCAAGAATGTCCTAAAGTAGAAGAATTAGACTATAACTTTTGTTTGATATACATGCATATCATACATGTACATGTAATTGATGACATGAAAGTATCACAAACCTCTATTTCTTTTAATCCTGATGCATCCACTTTGAATCTAGCATGTGCACACTCACTCATTACAAGACCAGCATATGCTTCACCGTCAATACTTGGAATATCATCTACATACCTAAAACAATCATTATACCGTAGATCAGTAATTAGTGTGGTAGAAAATTTTTGTGTTTTAAAATTGTGCTGTGATTTAATTTTTACTAAATAAGACTCTGTCATGTATTATTAAATGTGGCATGTAATTATATGAGTAATCTAATTTTTTTTGCGAAATTCTAATTCAATAAAATTTAAATCACAGTAAAAATTTCCAGATAAATGATATTGTATTTGTATATGTATTTTGATTACAATGCTTCTCCAGTTGCTTGTTCTAATGCTGATAAATGCATTACTGGCTGCCCAATGGTATCATTTAATGACTGAGGAGACTTTTTGCTATAAATTTGAGTACCTTTAGCAGGTACAGCTTTAAAATCCTATACAAGGAAAAATTTGCTTTCATCAATCATTCAGTATGTTGCACTATCTCTCTACTCAATATAAGCGTACTTTTAAAGCAGATTCTTCATTACCAAGAGGTGGTGAGTTGCCCAATTCCATTTGAACTTGAAGATAAAACTTGTAAAAGAAAGAAAGACACAGGAGCTGTCTATACTTCACCATTCCTCCTTCAATGTCATTTGAGAAATTTATTTCAGATGACAAACTTTCATAAACCTCATTTAATAAATATGAATTCCATTCCCTAACATCAAAAAACAATCTGTTATTTATGTACAAGTTTTACACAAACCTTCCAATTATCATTTTCTGTGTTTTGTCAGCCATTATTACAGTATGTCCCATTCCACCATACATTATTTTACAGTCTTCAACGCGGCATGCTTCACCTATTCTCTTTATTTCAACAGACATGCTTGCATTAACTATAGCAGTAGCAACATATCTCCTTTTAGCCTGTTTATATCCAGCAACATAAATATCCTTTAAAAATCAAGATTATCGTAACAAATAAAATATTAATAATAAATCACCTCATTAGAGTAAGGTATTATCAATGACTGTAAAATTTCTGTATCTGACATCTTAGTGTGGAATGATGCTGTCATAACTGTCTCTCTAAATGAACCTACATGTATGTACGTATAGGTTATACACTGAGATAGAGGTTAATAAATGCATAAATAGTAGAGTATAAAGGGATTGAAATTTGCATATGCAGAAGTTATCACTACATGTATAATAATTCTAATTTTCCACATGCAATAATTACAATGCAAAAGTTACCAAATCTTGCCAGAGAATGGCAGATTTATAGGATTCCAAAAGACCATATCAATACCATTACTAGCCAGTTCATTAAAGCAATGTATTACCTGTTGCATGTGCTTCTTTCCTAGCTTAAACATTTATTAATTTGGAGAAAAAGGTACAGAAACTTTGTCACTTTGACAGCACAAAACTTGAGTTTCTGGAGAAGATCTATGAGCTACAAGTCTAAGAATACCCTAGTTCCATGCAATTCAAAGCGCTTGATTACTCTATGCTTGCTACTTTGTTGTAAAACAAGAGACATTTTAGTAAAAGGTACAGAATGTCAGAAAAGCAGTCCTGCTTGACACCCGCTGTTAGCACTGAATGAAACAAATTATTGCTTTTGAGTAACTGTATGAAATTTGCATTGATAAGTATAGAAGTCATTAGGCATTTTATGCATTAATTTGCTTTATTTTTGCAACTACTGAGACAGGGAAAAAGTGGACCTCTCCCGTTGCTAAGGACAGAACAGGATGTGGGAAGTGACAACTTCACCCTCCATTGGTTTTTACAGGCCGCCCATGCAATTTCCAATCCCTTCATACTAGCCTCCTATTACCCTGTAAATTACTTAATAACAGTACACCTCCTAGTGGAATATCAGTTATTTGTGAACCTAAAATCAAACAATTGCAATTGCAAAGAGGCATTGCTCAATTGCAACTAGGCATGGTAGATTTAGTAATTACAGGTGTTGTTGGACATAAATTGTACATAAAGTTATAGTGTTTAGTTTTCTACACTAATAAGTGCGCTACAGCGCTGGTACCAAAATTCAGAGGCAAAAAATAAAATGAAATTAAACTCTAAATTTTGAAATGATGCTAATAAAGACAAACATGTACATGTACATACACAATTAATTTTTGATAAAAATTATGATCATGCATAATGACTTTGAGATATAAATGTAAAATGAAATATCTCACCTTTTGAAGCAAAATTAAGAATAGTTCCAGCGACAATTAATACTGGTATAAGATCAGAACCAGGACAACCATTCACAATATTTCCCCCTATTGTCTATGAGAGTGGATGTACATAATACTATACGTAATAATCATGTTCACTTACAGCAACGTTTTTGATTTGAGGGTTTGCAAACCAATGCAGCATATCTAAAAGTGCTTTAAAGTATTTGGTCTTTGATTCTAAAGTACAAGACATGTAGATCATTTAGTTCCCAATAAATATAGTTACCAGGTAAAGACTTCATGGTTTTCATTAGTTTCTCTTCAAGACATCCTATAGTGACAGCTGCTCCAACTAGTAGACCTTTCTCATTAATTTCTAATACTTGTAACTCATTTACACAACTAACTGCTATTAAAACTGAAGGTTTGGCTAATTTGTCACAACCTACGTGCATAGAAACAAATTGTTAAACCACTGATACAGATCTGAGGTCACTTAAAATATTAAAGGCTCAATTACAATTACAATTACATGATTGAAATTGTAAATGAGGCTTAAGCCTGATTTGGAATTATTCTTAAAATTGAGTTGTCATAGCGTACTCAATCAGGGTTTCTCAGTATAGTGCTCAACTTCTTGCCAGCTTGTGAGGTGCTGTTTAACTTGCTCAGTAGAGCTTTGTAGAAACCCTGATCCATGATATTTTGTCAAAAATAGATAAACAAATATCATTTAAAAAAACAAATACACACACTTATTCGGTGGAGTGCATTCCAATCAAAATTAAATTTTTAACAAAATTTTAAACTGCTCAAAAAAATCAGGCCAAATTCCTTGCACTAAAGTTCAGGCATTTTGATCAAACTTTGTTAAAATTAAAAATGAAAGGACTCTCTATTTTAATTATTTTTGATACACTTACATGTTCTGATGTTGTGTACATAGTTTGAGCTGATTACAACCAAAATTGAATTTTCAAAAATTATTCTAAAGGCACATTATAGCAGTGCTTGTCAGCTCACGAAGTGTGCTATTTAGCTCACTTAGCATGCTCTGTGGCAAAACATGGTGACAATTATGCACTCTTGCTTGTATGAAGCTGAACTACTGTTTTTTTAGCAAGCCATACAAAACAAAGTATTTGTAATTAAAATTACTTCAACATGACATACATATAATTGCAATTCTAATTGAGTCTATCTTTACAAAAGGATTGCAATTAACGTTTTGTAATTAACTCCAGGTCTACACTTTTAAAGAAAATTGTCATTAGCGACTACATAATAAAAGTCTACTAACCAATTCCAATATTCCCAGCAACAATCATGTTATCTGAATTGGCAGGAAACTGCTCTCTTATTGTAAGGAGCTCATTCAATGTTATAGGACGATACCACTTTGTTCTTGATCCTTGTATAAGCAGCGAGGTCATTGCTGAATTTTGTAACTGAGTGAATAACAGTAATAGTACTAACAATAATAATAATAATAATAATAATAATAATAATAATAATAATAATAATAATAATGAATGAATGAAGTTAATTCAACTTTCAACAAATTTATTACTTTTAATTCTGGAGGAAAAATAACTTCTTGTGATGGTTCAATAATGAATCTTTCATTGCCATAATTCTTAAGCTACATTAATGCATTATAGTATACACTACAATCAATAACATTACTTCTTCTTGTTTTTCTGAGCAACTACAATCTTTACAGAATGACCTAAACCCATCCAAGATTGGTCTGTAACCAGTACACCTGCATAAATTACCTAACATGGAATAAAAATATCATTAGACTGGAAAGTGATAATAATTTATCTAATTTATGGTAAATCATATACCATGAAGTGATAACTGCATCTCAGTTTCTGTAGGTTTTGGATTGTTCCTTAATAATGTATACATAGACATAACCATACCAGGAGTACAAAATCCACACTGTGAACCATTAGACCTAGCAATACTTTCCTAGAAAAATCAATGTTCATAAAATAATAATCATAATACTATGTATGTGATTTATTCCGTGGCTCTAATATAATTATTGTTCAAAAAAATTTTTTTAATTAATTTATTGGTCTACAAAATTTATATTACTGTATAGCTGGAAAATTTTAAAAGACTTGTTTTTGTGGTTTAGTTAAAATTGTCAAAGATAACAATTATGGTACAAGAATTTGATTCATAAAAATTAAATCCAAGAAGATCTAATCCCTCAGAAGTTTTCAGCTATAATGGTAGTTTTTAGTCAAAGTTAATAAAATTTAGTGGAATCAAGAAATGATTTTTAGTGGATTTGAGCCTGCAAAAAAATTAAATTTACACAAAAATAATGTAAATCACCAAAACAATTAAACCATGCCTATACAGTGAGTTTTATTGGCAGTGATAAAATTTGGCAAGGCTAAAAAACAACAAGTTAAGTTTCATCATCTATTCATCTCTTACCACATGACAGTCAATAACTGGAATGTAGCATTTTCCTAAAATTTGTCTAATTACCGAATTTAATTTCTCACCAATTATTAGGTTCAATTCATGGGACAGAAGGTAATACTGTGTTAGTATAGTGCACCAAACAAAACTCACTTGGCAAGGATGTAGCTTTTGAGTATTACCAATTCCTTCAATAGTTGTAACAGCTAGTCCATCTAATGAACACACTGGCAATAAACATGCATTAACAGACCAATGCCTACAAGGTATCATTGCTTAAGAGTTACCGGTATATCAATGTTACTTGTTGTCACCTTATTTCATCAGTTGAAGCATAATATTTTGATATCATTACAGTACAAGCACCACATCCTCCTACATTACAACCTTGCTTAGTACCAGTCAAATGCACTGCTGGCATGGAAAGACATTATAACATAATTATAACGAGACACCAAAGGTGCGTGGCCTCGACCCTAAAGCTGTTTGGGAGGTGTTAGGCTTAGACTGCTTAGCTAGCCCAAACCAGTAGCTATATATAATGTAGAAAAAAAGTGACAGACTAGGCAAGTGTGAAAAGTATGATGGGACTCTGGAGTCCCTCCAAAAATTGGTAAAATGTGTTCATGATTCCTATTAGCATCTCAAGATTTATCACTTATTAATACACTATTTATACTTATTGCACTTTAAAAAACAACATCATGGGTTTCAAAACCATGGCTTTTGATGTGGCCACTATCTATCAAAAACATACTATACAAAAAATCTAGAACTGAAGTGTGCTCCTGAGGCCGAGGGATTATCATAACAGCAAGCTTCCTAACTGCAGTTATGCTTGCTCTTGCATGCTTGCAGAAGTGGTAAGCTAGCTGCTCCAGGCAGCAACTCCTAGCTTAAAGGTGTGGCATTAATTAATCAATATGCAGCAAGACCATGTGAGAAGGAAGGTTCATACTTTTTTCTCTTCTTCTAAGCGCTATAAGATGCTATAATGGCATAAATACTGTTGCCTAGATAGAATGACTTAATGAAGTTTAGGGTCTTTAAACATATGAACTACTGCTACAGCAATTCACTCGGGATTAGTCTCGTCCCCCGCCCCTTTGAAGGGGGCGAGGGACGAGACTAACTCGGGATAAAATTTGAACATCTATAACTCAAGAACAAGAAGGATTTAAAGAATCCCACACATATTTAGTCTTGACCTACTGGAAAAGAGCTCCACTTACTTCCAGAGTACTACTGCCATTGCCGCGGCATTCTCTCGTGAGTTTAAAAGCTTCCTGTACCTAAAGCTGCTCTCTAAACATCTCAGTCGAGACTGTAGAGCAAGACTTTTTCTAACATACAAAAATCCTCACAGATTTAGAGCTCACGGTTTTTAAGTTATCATAAAACCAAGAATGACAGACAACCAAAGTACCCAGTCCTCGCCTACGCAAAGCTGGGCGAGGCCAATAAATCTGCCAGTTATAATAAAACTAACGAGATTTCCTTAGCAAGTCAAGTAGCTTAGTCTCTGGTTCAGGATTCTCCAACAAAATCTAAAGAGCATATTCAAAACAAAATAAAGGGAAGATTAAACTAACCTTTTGCCCATTTACAAAGAAAGAAATCATTGCAACTAGCCAACTACATGTAGCTCGACACATACATGTAGCCTACATAGATTTTATAACTAAAGCCGGCACGCCCTCCTAAGTTCGGGCGGCGGGCGCCCATATGGACAACATGGATGCCTCTTGTGCTATGCATTTTATACATGACATGATTAAAAAATTTGATTCTGGGGGTGGTCTCCTCTTGACTTCAGGTAGAAAATTTAATGTAGTACTTGTTGCTTTAATGCGTTCAAACAGAAATATCATGCATGTCATTATGCTTTATGTGTAGTGCCTCAGGGGCCAGATAAAAATTTAAGACATAGCTGTCTTAATATTTTGCATCCATGCAAAATATTCTTTTAATAAATAATGGGTTTTGGCCACACATATAATACCATATCACACATCCACTAATAATAGAATTAAGATACACAGAGTATTCTGCAATCCTATAACTCAGTCTGGGTTCAAATTTAGTTAGCAATTTTAATATGAATAACCTTTCATAATTTGTTGTAATTAGTTTTTGACACCCTAATGACTAGCTGGAAATTTAAATTCATAAATTTTAAATCTATAGTCTCAGTTTTGTTTTTCAGATCGCAAAATCTGCTAACATCAATGGGACAGTATTGCTACTTTTCTCACCATAAATTGGCTAAAAACAACAATTTTTGATATAAAACAACAATTACAATCATGAACAAAATTAATCAACGCAATAAAAGTTTTAAAAGTATCTATATAGACACCAAAATACACAAATACAAAAAGCTTTACTTTTAGGTTTTTAGTAGGACATTTTCACTTTCACTTCGGTTGAAAATTTCTGCAGGAAAATCATTATCATATGCAATGTACCCATCACCATATGCATTAACACTACCAGTCAAAGGATCTGTAGCAGATGCATTACATTTAGAATGACATGTTTTACAAAGCTTCCAAGAACCCCATACAATCCCAGCTATCAACGGAATATATATGA